CAACGACTGATGTCTAGAAACTTGGAATATTTCGTGTAACTGATGTCCAGAAACTTAGAAGATATAACTGATGTCAGAAAGATAGAATATTCTCGACCAATGATGTCCAGAAACTTAGAATATTTCGATTACTGATGTCCAGAAACTTAGAATATTTCAACGACTGATGTCTAGAAACTTGGAATATTTCGTGTAACTGATGTCCAGAAACTTAGGATATTAACTGATGTCAGAAAGATAGAATATTCTCGACCAATGATGTCCAGAAACTTAGAATATTTCAACGACTGATGTCTAGAAACTTGGAATATTTCGTGTAACTGATGTCCAGAAACTTAGAAGATATAACTGATGTCAGAAAGATAGAATATTCTCGACCAATGATGTCCAGAAACTTAGAATATTTCGATTACTGATGTCCAGAAACTTAGAATATTTCAACGACTGATGTCTAGAAACTTGGAATATTTCGTGTAACTGATGTCCAGAAACTTAGAAGATATAACTGATGTCAGAAAGATAGAATATTCTCGACCAATGATGTCCAGAAACTTAGAATATTTCGATTACTGATGTCCAGAAACTTAGAATATTTCGATTACTGATGTCCAGAAACTTAGAATATTTCAACGACTGATGTCTAGAAACTTGGAATATTTCGTGTAACTGATGTCCAGAAACTTAGAAGATATAACTGATGTCAGAAAGATAGAATATTCTCGACCAATGATGTCCAGAAACTTAGAATATTTCGATTACTGATGTCCAGAAACTTAGAATATTTCGATTACTGATGTCCAGAAACTTAGAATATTTCAACGACTGATGTCTAGAAACTTGGAATATTTCGTGTAACTGATGTCCAGAAACTTAGAAGATATAACTGATGTCAGAAAGATAGAATATTCTCGACCAATGATGTCCAGAAACTTAGAATATTTCGATTACTGATGTCCAGAAACTTAGAATATTTCGATTACTGATGTCCAGAAACTTAGAATATTTCAACGACTGATGTCTAGAAACTTGGAATATTTCGTGTAACTGATGTCCAGAAACTTAGAAGATATAACTGATGTCAGAAAGATAGAATATTCTCGACCAATGATGTCCAGAAACTTAGAATATTTCGATTACTGATGTCCAGAAACTTAGAATATTTCAACGACTGATGTCTAGAAACTTGGAATATTTCGTGTAACTGATGTCCAGAAACTTAGAAGATATAACTGATGTCAGAAAGATAGAATATTCTCGACCAATGATGTCCAGAAACTTAGAATATTTCGATTACTGATGTCCAGAAACTTAGAATATTTCGATTACTGATGTCCAGAAACTTAGAATATTTCAACTACTGATGTCTAGAAACTTGGAATATTTCATATAACTGATGTCCAGAAACTAAGAAGATATAACTGATAGAGAAATATAGACTCTTTAATATAATCTTTGATATTTCACATAAACAAAGGACTTTCAAGTAGTCTCCCTACAACTTAATTTACACCGATTTATTCTGTATACATTTTTGGGCTGGATAAGCAACAATATATGTGTGTTTATTTTATATTCGATGTTGTGTCGCTATATCTTCACGTGCATTTAATGTGCACCAAGTATCCCTCGAAGTGACCTAGCCTAATAAAATAAATAACAACCATCCACACTACCCAAATTAGGCTAGTTGTTACAATATTCTAGGTGGAACCGAGTACCTTCGGGTCCCGTTACCATAGCAACCATATCTTTTTAACCAATCACAGATGAGCAGCTAAATCATGACACATTATGTAGAGATGTATGATCTATGATTGTACCAAATTTCAAAGCAAAGCTAAATGTAGAACTTGAGATAGTGTCAAAATTGCAAAACTTTTTGATGCACCCAAGTACAAGACGAAGCTTTCTTTTAAGAAGGGAAGTCAAACGAATGCAAAGGGTATAAAAATGAATGAACGAGACATATAGATACTATTAAATACATCTAGATAGTATCAAAACCATAATTCGATTTGTCGGACATATATAAAATAACACTTGAAAACACAACACACGTCACACATAGCTGCAATATCCGTAGCATTTGGCACAGTCGGTTCCCACGCTCTATCATTTTGTGTGGTCATCATAAGATAAGGAGGTACGGTTGATTAGACCATGGGCTTTCAAAAGAGTCAAGAAATTGGCATGGACACTTTGAGAAATGAGGTAGCAACAAAAGGAAACACCGGAAATAATCCAGAAATGTCTACACCATTGTTTTCGTTAGTTATGGCAAGGCCTCGGAGGAAAAACAGCATTCGTGGGTAGCTTAATTTTTGTACCAATTAGAGCCATGACTTAAACTCAACCAAGAACGAGGGAGCAAAGTCACTATGGGTTCCAATTAAGAATCAGTTCAAATCAAAATCAAATTGAGAATCAGACGACCTGCTAAGTCTAGTAATTGATATTTCGTTTGTGGAATGAAAACTGATGATAGAGATAATATCAGTAGCCAAAAACTATATAAGTAATTTAAACATGGAAATGATGCCAATTTAGAAGTATTATATGAAAAGAAATGTTTGTGAAATGGTTAGAAAATGAAATAACTTCAGAATTAATGGGATCATTGAGGCACACATTGATAAAATCATACTTGGATTTCGAAAGATTTAAAGTAAAACAAATGAATGCGTTTCTTACTATCTCCGTGACAACATATCTTGCCCTCTCTCCATGACAACAATTTTTGGCCCCATCAGCACAAGATCGAAAATACAGTAATTATCTGAAAATATGTTTTTGCGCGATAAACGTTTCATTGAATATGAATAAATAAACAACAGATTGACATCCAGTCTCATATTAAAAAGTTTAAAGTCAAAATATTGTGGAAGTAAATAAAAATGAATTTTTAATTTTCAAGACTTGTCTGTTCAATGAAAAAATCATGTATTTGAACCAAGGTGTATGATAAAGTAATATATAAACTATTTTATATGCTGGTACAGTAGAATTTCTCTTGGCTTTTCAACATAGCAGGTCATATTTGACTTTTCAGGCTCCACTTTTATTATTCCATGCCTATACAGTGCGTATAAAAAAAACGCAACAGATTGTTATCTTGGAAAAGCACAAAACCAGTGATAACAGCATTGATTTCATTCAATGCACCATAAAGCCATGTATCTCCTCTTTACAATGATATATCATTCATTGATATTTGGTCATGGTTGGGTGAGTTATCATTCCATTTGCAAACCGGGCCAAAATTAGCTTCGGGCCAAGTTATAAACATTGCAAAAGTCAATGTACGGAGCCCGATGCAATATTGGACGAAAACATAAAATCAATGCTGACTGCATCCTTTTAATTCAATGTACCAAAAAGCCAAATTACTCCTCTTTGCAATGGAACATCATTCATTCACAGGGGGTCATCTCTGGCCGAATAATCATTAATTTTGAAAAGTGGGGCAAAATTCAGGTCGGACCCAAGTTTAAAAAGTCAGTACTAGGGGCATAGGGGCTATTGGAAGAAGGTGTGACAGGTATGGCATAGACAGTAAAGTGTTCATACTCATACTCTTGCAAGAATACATCCTATACCCCTCCAAATTGCCACCACTTCCTTGCACATAAAGATGCGCTCATCTGTCCACATCATGCATGGTTCAACCCTGAATCATGTGTGGGTTAAAGTAAAGAAAAGCATCCCATGGGCAAATCTTTCTCGAGCTTTTGCAATATCTGGTGGAGGAATTGTGAGCACAGATGCTCCTGAGATAGCTTCAAAAGAAAAAGTCACAACAATTCAAGTCAGGGGAACTTCCATTGGCACTTAGCCCTTGCACTGATTTTTTCAATATCTAAAATTTGGCACAGAGCCGATTTTGACCCACTGTGCAAATGGAAGGATTTCTCACCCAACCATTACCACATGTGAATGAATGACATATCATTGCAAAGAGGAGAGACATGGCTTTATAGTACATTAAATGAAATTGATGTAGTCATCACTAGTTTTGTGATTTTACGAGATAACTACTTGTTGCGTTTTTTATACGCCCTGTATAATGTTACTGTGCACCGTCATACATGTACATAATCATGTGTCTACATGACGTGTTGAAAGAGTATAGAGCTAGATTCAAAGCACCGTTCTTGCGAGTTTCAAATGAAAATATTGAAAATTCATGTATTGAGGACTGCAACTTTTTATGTCTACACTGACAAAAACGTGAAATTCCCGCTGTAAAGATATAGTCCCACGCGGAAGTGCACGTCATAAAACTGATGGGTTAAGGCAATGTGCCGTCCCACTGGCACGGATTTCGGGATATAGTCCTGAGTAAGGACATTAGCGGTTACCGTTAGTGATTTGGTTTTCTGCATAAAAAGTCATTTTCTCCTTCCCTACCCCATTGGAGCGCCATCTGGCGTTTGGGAAGTGAATCGGGACTAAATATTTATAGGGTAGGTCCTAATTTATCTGAAAACATGTCAGAGTTCAGTGGAAAATCTCATTTTAAGCTGGCGGCGGAGTGATTTTGACCTTGGTGATTTTACCAGAATTCTTTGAGTTATCTGACGATAGAGGGGGTTAGTGTCTTCAAGTTTATTTATTTCATAAATTCGGTGGACAACCCACGGTAAGATTGTTATAGCAGGCTAGGTGAGTCTCTCCCGAACACTGTGGTATGTTGCACTAGGCTTGGATACTAATCGTTAATAAGATACAGGGTAAGATGTTATAATGGCCACCTATGGGAAACTCTACTGTGATCTTCAACCTATTAGCGGAAGTGCACGTCATAAAACTGATGGGTTAAGGCAATGTGCCGTCCCACTGGCACGGATTTCGGTACAACGCGCATCGGTAGGCCTTTCGGCACAATGCGCGTCGGTATAATGGTTTCGGTATAATGCGCGTCGGTTAATAATGGGTTTCGGTATAATACGCGTCGGTATAATGAGGTGATCCCGTAAAAATATTTGTCCGATTTTATTTAATTACAAAGCACTATCTACGTATATGAGGAGAAAACTAAAGAGTTCTGAACACCGTACATTTGTATTTACCTCTGTGAGTTCTGGAAGGCCCTGAATCTCGAGTCTCCATCCTTCATCATCAGTTAGGTGAATGTGGAGTTTGTTCATCTTATAAAGGGACATGCCATCGATGAGTCTCATTATGCTTTCTTTACTGTGGAAGTTCCTAGCCACATCAAAATGCATACCTCTGTAGTTATATCTGAAAAACATAATCATAATGCAGGAATAATTCTAATTTCAGTACCTACATGTAGTTAAATTCGACAAGGATGGTGTTTCAGCCTTATCATAAATAGGCAATTCCACTCACATTCAACCACCTTGTGTGTTCACTACAAAAAAAACTTTGTCTCAAATTAAATATAAAAAATCTGATCTGACCTAGGTTGATCACTGAGTGTCACAGCAGGAATACTCCCATTGGAACCATCGTGGATACTTATAAGCGACTGGACAGCCCAGAATACACCTGTAGGACTCTTGCCCTCTAGGGTAATCACCTGGCTACTTGTGTCAACTACAAGTGTGTAAGCTTCACTGTTACTGTTGGTTTGGCCATCCACAAGCAAGTTTGTGTTCACTTGAAGCAGCACATACTTAGAGCTTGGAGTAACTGTAGTTGTTCCCATTGGCAGTTTTTCTGAAACGTTATTTTTTATTAGACCTTTTTATCTATGACGTTTTCTAAGTTTTGCTTTGTTACTTTCATTTGTGTATCTGTATATGCTTTCCTAATTTCACTTGATATCATACCTGATAGATATTTAGCTTCTTGGTGCAAATTATCCTTTATCACTATGGCCCAGTCTCCAGTTGATATGGAAACAGTCGATGTGGCATCTACCTCTACTTTGACAGGTGTTGGGAGAACTAAGTGTTGAGCAGCACCAATATCATCTTGGACAGCATTGATAGTGAATCGCTTTTCGGGGGTATAGGGATCATACCTAGAAAAATAATAGTACCATAATACATATAATGCAAATGTACATGTAATGTAAATATCCGAATACAAATCATTGTACATAACCATGCCGGCAATACATTTTTTATGTTGAAAGTGGTTGGTTTGATTACATGAGCTCTAAACATTTTGAAGGAGACATCGAAGTAACACATACTTGTCACTTTCGTATCGTTTCCATTTCTCAATCGAATCAAATGCAGACACAAAGTCAAGATCTTCGGAGACTGTACTTTGAATCGTACGGGGCTCAAGACCATCCGCTGCCACATACCAGTTGGGCATAACATCACTTCGAGAAACCATCCACTCTCCAGCAATGAACGAAATTTCACGCGAGTCACCAACAGCGATATTCTTAAATGTGGTAGTTGGTTCGAGTTTAAACAAACAACCATTTACATGGGACCATTTTGCACCAGTATTGGGGTCAGTGTATCCATACGGGTCGTCTATGTAATTGCCATGATATATTTTTGACTCTTTTATTAACTTTATATGGCAAAAGTATATGGCCCATGCATCATTGGTGATAACCTTTTGGCCAGAATTCGTCAGGGTGATTTTTCCTGTATAAGTGGCATCATTAGGCTTGAAGTTACTGACAACTTCATATGTGATATCTAGATTGTCAGCAATGTAGTCAAGTTTTCGCTGCGTGAGGGATCCATCTGTAGAAATTTAAAACTTTTCAGTTTGCCATTCATTCATAACACAATTATGGAGTTCCCGGATTACTATTTGACTACAGAAGGTGTTCATATTGACACAGGCAGATATGATATGCCAATTAAAGTGCTGAAAGTATGTAATCTAAAAGATAAGTATTGAATTAAACTGCAGGCACTAAAATATTGAGTTAGTTACTCCGTTACTTGTTACTTTAAAAAAATTCAACCACAACACGATTGACTTTGAACATGAAAAAGCTGAAAATGACAAGTCCTACTTTTTGTCAAATGGTAGATAGAGTAAAAACCGGAAACCGTAATTCCAAGAGATTTTGAATCTTCAGAGAACACAGCAACTACTAACATTTATTATTTATTAGAAAGTTCTACTTTAACAAAGTGTCTGATATTTTAAAAAATTGTCTTTTTTACGTCAAAGTCGGAAATTTTTTGAAACCTGGTAAACTTGGAAAATTGGCGATAACGTGTCAAATAGCCACTATGTATATACATAAATTGAATATAGATATGACTTTGTACGAATAGCAATTTTTAATTTGTGCCGCAAATGCTGACGGTAGGACGGACCAACGGACGGACGACTAGTTCATAGGCTCACTGTATGAGCCAAAAATTATTTGTACTTTTCAAAACCCAAGGTCAATCAAAAACAAGGCCATCGGACACCCGACACGTGTGTATGTCATCGTGAAACTGACCTACGACATAGCTATGGCCTGTCTAGTTCTAATGCAATCTAGAAAGAAAATCAACTGTTGGCATAAGATAGATTGAAAACTCGAGTTTTTGCGAGTTTCGCATTTTATGATGCGAGTTTCGAATCATATAGGGGTGTCACATTATGTGGTTCGATTTCACGGCTTGTTTATTCCATAATACTATTGTTTTCCCAGGGAAATATGAAGGAATAATCGTATTGAATCGCATTTCATGAAAAATCGTATTGTCCCCGGGAGAAAAATCGTATTGGAGCGTATTACATGAAAAAATCGTATTGTCCCCGGGAAAAATTGTATTGGAGCATATTAAGCTATTTTCGGTTTCCCGGTTATTTTTTCCCGTTTATTTGCATTATCCAAATGTAGAATTTTAGAGGGGTGTATTATGGAATAAAAAGGTTAATTTTGGTCAGGATTGAATATGGGTTTTATTCCTCGGAAAATATGACATTGACACTAGGTCACTGCACTACCTCGGTCAATATCATATTACCCTTCGATCAATATCATATTGTCCCACGGAATAAAATCCATATTCAATCCCTCTCAGTAAATAACCTATATCTATTGTCCAATTTTAAATGAATAAATTCCATAGTACTGTATGTGATTATACTCGATTAGGAAAATATGAAAACTGCAGCTTTAAGTCATTGAATTATTAAATGCTCACCTATGACTTTAACTACATCCAGTGCAATCGCTGTTAGTAGCAAAATTAGGTAAGCTGCCATTGTCGCTTGCTTTGCCTGCTTGAATGCCCTATGTCAAACGCAATACATTCTAAATGTTACATAGTTTGAGCATCGACTCTAGGTTAACTGTCTCATTAAAACAATAATCGAAGATCAAGGTCTATTATATGCGTATATTATCGAGCATTATTTTTATTTTTATTGGATTGTTGGTTTGTTTACGAAATATACATCTATGTGATTGATGTATTAATTGAGAGTTAATAACGAGATTGAACCAACGCTGACATTTTTAACACTCATAACGAAAACTCGTGTTCATTTTTCCCGTTTCCCGTTTTGCCTCAGTCTCACGTGTCGTCCAGGTGCAGATATTATGGCAGTCATTGCTCTTCCTCAAATAATCATTGAATTGCGACTTAAACTGGGGAAGGAGTACATTAAGATCTAGTCAGCTGTTCATAAACAATAATGAAATGCAATATCAGTGAATGTTATGCAGAAAAAGTATTCTTTGGAAATAATTGAAGAGAAAACATGAGAAGTTCTAGATTTTTCATTTCATTTCGTATCCGTTTCACGTTTAAGTGCGAATCTTTCTAAAATTGCAAATCTTTTCTTGTGTATGAATCTATAAGCAGTGGCAAAATTGTAAGCAACATACGAGCGCCAACCACCAACCACCGAACACCGCCTACAAAAAAGTTGGAGACTATTACAATTTATGTCACCACTTGTGGTGGTGTCATTAAAATGAAAGCATTGTTGTAAACATCTTCCGTTTTCCTCAGATGAATATATCGGTTGTCCCAAAAAGTGAATCGCTTTTTGACAAGTATTTTCTCAGCAATAGATAAGCTGAACTTATATTCCATTATAGAGAATGATGTATATTTTTCTATATTGAGAAATATCAAACTTACCATTTAATAGGTCTATAGCCTATAACGACTAAAACATTAAATGCTAGTCGCCGTGTGACCAATCGTGCGAGAAGGTGTGCAAAATAAAATTTTATGGAATTTGTTGCAATACACAATATATTGTGGTTTTGTTTGCGTTGATTCTATTTACATCATTACTACTAACTATTATAAATGGAGGGGATACCGGGGCAAAACAAGGCACTATTTCCAGTGTTTTCAAGTAGTGTATGTTTTATATACATGATTATTTACATGATTGTTATTCGAAATAAATGCGAAGTCAAGATAGCGGGCAAAATAGCTGTATCTGCTTTTTGAGTTTGGTTGTTATTGTCTGCAATATCACGGGTAGTATCTAAAGCCCCGCTATGATTGAAAAGTCGCGAGCAAGTTCCCGCTGAAATCGCGAGCATAGTCCTGTTTATTTGTATCACTTTGGAAAATGAACCAAAAGGATGAAAATACTTATTACCGTTCTTTGATACTCCAGCAAAACGTTGAAAACAGATATATTTGACAAAAAATGACATGAAAAATGATTATTTTTTACTTGCATGAAGGAAAGGGGCGCCAACATGCACGTTTGCATGATTTACTGTTCATATATTACCTTTATCGTTAAAATAAAGGCAATAAATACGATTTACATACTCCATAATAAATATCGGATCAAGATGGTCTATATTGATAAGTTACTGGACAATGACACCTGCCATGGGGGTCGAAATACATTATTAAAGGTGTTCCAGTGGCCCCCCTGAATAAATGAGGAGGCCCCGCTGAAAACATGAGGAGACCCCGCTGAAAACACGAGCAAATTTCACGACTACCCGCTTCGATCACGAGGAAAGCTTCATCATTATTCCATGAATATAGTGAGCTTCTTTATATGAACGTACACGAATGTGCAAATAACGTATTAATGACAATCACATAGCATATCATTATATGGCAACATCACAAATATTTCTTCTTCAACTTCAGGCAGTCTAATCCATCTGTCAGCGGCATGATCAAATTTTTATATGTAAATAGACTTTGTACTCTATGATTCCAAAGTTTACAATCCCTAATTTCCAGAATAAGAAATCTTGTTTTATCATTAACCAATTGCTGAGAAATAATTTACACTCAATTTTATGTGATATTCAATACATACATGTCAATAGTGAATATCATATACTAGTATTCTACAAAATGTCAGTTAATAACGAGATTGAACCAACGCTGACATTTTTAACACTGAACGAAAACTCGTGTCCATTTTTTCCCGTGTCCCGTTTTGCCCCAGTCTCCCTAAACATGTATATTGTTTAATCTCTAGAAGTAAAGCTTTACGTTATTGCATCATTAATAAACCATCAGAGTAAACCAGAAGCGTTTATATTTTTATAATTCGAACTATTAAATTATATAAATGTATATTTCACGACCATCCATTGAGTCGGAACAAATGCTAACATTTGGATGCAATCTTATCCTGCATATACATCGCGATAGCCGCGCCCCCTTTGTCTTTATCCTTCCAAAGTGCTCTCGCTTATATTACGGCAGGTAAGAGGGGCTCTGACATACCAGAATGCTGCATATATGCAAGATTAAATCATCTAAGTAGATATCCAGGATAAGATCAATTGCATCCCCATGTTAAGCCAATGATGTGTGGCATTTTTAGTGTAGATCCAGGTGTGGCTGCAAAGGAATAGACGACACATCTTGTAAATGCTCATTAAGGCACATCTAATTCGGCTAGTAGTCTGAAACTTCCTATGGAGGTGCTCCATGGAGTATAGTTTTACTATGCAAAAGGAGAAGTCGGGATATTGCAAAAAAAGTTATGCAACATTATGTGGGTGGGTGAAATTTTATGTGTGTCTCACAGTATATACTATGTTGTAAAAAAAGTTCTATCTCTAATTTGAATTAAGACATTGATAATTAAAAAGTATATGTTTTACATATTTTTGTAATGTTGCTTTTATTTCAAAACAAGCGGACTTAAAGGATAGGCATCGATATGCTAACTGTCCCAATCCTTCCACTCTGAGATTTGAACAATGCTTGGTGAAGAAAGATACATTCTACTGGATACTGCTTTTCTGGAGCTGAAAACTTGTACTGTTGGAGTTAAAAGTGCGTGTCTGGGAACATTTGTTCCTTAGTGGGCATCCCTTTAGAACTGGAAAGGTCATCCACATTCTGTAACACATAGACAAACACACATAAATACGAGGGTTGTAAAGGTACTGCAAGGTCAAGACTCACTAAAGTTTGTCGAATTATGATGATCTCAGACATCTGCTGATAACGCAATGTAGGACACCCACTGGACTTAATGAAGCCCTTCACCTGTCGAAGTGTTAATTCTTGATCAGTTTGAAGTGATTTCGTTGATGTTTATTTGAAAACGTAGCATACATATCTCAAAACTAATGAAGTATATTTTAAAACATTTGCGACTCTAACATAGATGTGACTCCTAATTAAAACTTCATTAATTTTAACAATGTGTGACATCAATGAAATTCAACAATGACTGTGAATCTTATATTAATTTATTTCACAATTGTCCTCACTAGTGGAAAGTCCAAAAATATGTCCTGTTTAAGAACCATATTTTTATTACTAGGAGTAGGAACCGTTAGATATTGCTCTACTAATTCTTGTATTTAAAGCAAATCGCTTGCAGATTTTGAAAAAATTGGGAATTTCAGCAAGGGGCGATTTTCAAAAATTATGTAACAATATTTTTAGAAGAAATTTCTACACAGTATAGACAATTGTTTCATATCAGCTATATCGAAGACCTTATAGTGCCAGATAAAATCAAAATAAAGTTTGTCAAATCATGAAATTTGATTTTTTATGACCTTCCTATTGGCTATCATCATTTTTTCTGGTGGTGAAAATGGAAAACAATTGTTATATAGATATCTAAAATATAGTAAATAAGGCCAAATTTTGTTTTTGCTGTTTAAACAACTAAATGATATCTATTTATTGTTAAAATTGTTTTACCAGTGGAAAGCAAGAACGTCTTAAAAATATAATTGATAAAAATACGTTACAAAACATTTTTTTCGGAAAATTTAGAATAAGAAATAGACACTTACTTATACCCTAAATAACGTTCATGTGCTCAAATAGATTGACCTGATTATAGCTAAAATGAATTAATAAATGAGCATATTATTTATGCTAGAGGTAAAGTGTGTAGTTACTTCAAAAGAGAGTATAACTTAGTAAAAGGCAAGTATCGATTTGAAGAACAGTCTACTTTGACAATAATTTTTTTATGAAAAAATTACACTTCTATTAAATTATGAATATTCAAAAGAGAATATTTGAAGTAATGTGTAAAAACTGTCCAAAGCAGGCGTAACGTGCAATATACCGATTCAATAAATGACTCGGTTTGGAGAACGAAGTTCATCAGTCTACTTCGCTAATATTTTTTAATGAAAAATAACACCCAAATAAGATTTATGGATCTTCAAAAGTGGACATTTAAATCTATGTAAAATATCAAAATTGTCAAAAGCAGGCGTAACGTGCAGTAGCTGATGAATTTCGTTCTTCAAACTGATACTAGTCTTTTATAAATTGAATTTTCGTAAGATGTTTTGCAGGGCCCCTGTTTAAATCAGATACTAGTGCATGTTTGACTTTATAAAACTCCATGGGTTTTGACTAAAGGACCATGAGTTGTTTGTAAAATGAATCTGGAGAGTTTTTTCATGCATTTCGCTTGTGTTTTTCATCTAGTAAAACATCAATAAACTTTAAAACATTTTACTGACTATAAGATTGCGCCAAATAATCCCCCCAAAAATTCTAATTTTAAAGGATTATCTATGGATTAACATCCAGGTATTTTTATTTTTCAAACTTCAGAGGGCTGGGAATAATTGATTCCGAAATCGAATAATATAAATGATGTTTTAAATAGGTTTCATGTGTGCCAATAATGTCCCAAAATGTGTAAATGATACCCATTCCTTAATCCCAAGAATTTTCTCTTTGAGGAATTTCCCATAGTAATCCAATGGTATAGTTCCAATACACACCTTATTGAGTTGTGATATAAACCAAAACAACCCAATGAGGTGTGTATTAATAATTAACTTTCCTGTTATCTCAAAATCTGTTTGAAATTATACAATTCTCCCTTTCGCGATTCGCTCTTTGAATCAGAACGTTCGCAAATATGCACTGAAAAAGCACTCAAAAAGGACAAAATTTGATTGGTTTATATTTTCTCACTATGCATTTCGCGTAGCTATTTGCGTGACCCGAAAGTTCTAAATCAAACTAATTACGCAATTTTGTTTTTACACCCGCACGCTAAATAAAACAATGACAACATCGAAAATATTCTTCTTTGTCATTGCTTTAATAGTCCGCGTATATCGAGTTTAATCAATAAAAGATTGTACAATGAACAACAAAATTCGGAAACGAGTATTATAGATTTGCTTTCGGACCACTGAACAGAGTGACCTAGATAATTGCGACGCTTCTTCTTTGGTCTACTGCTCAGTTATTTGTTGGTTTTCAACGTAACTCTATGATGTAATTTGACGATGAATACTTTTATTCCGTTGTTGCATCGATGATGCAGTTTGTAGTGCAGTAAGTATTGAAAGTCGAATGGAATTGTTTTTTCCAATATGGCGACTAGTCAACTGATCATGTGACCTTCTCTTCCGGAATATTTTCTCACTTTTGAATCATCGTTTTCACCACGCTATGAATCAATACAATGAAAAATAGCTGTTATATTAAGATTAATAAAAGATCAATCGTTTCTAGTACTTTTTTCTGTACCCTCGTACGGGAATATGAACGAATATATCGTTTGAAAAATAGGTGTTAAAATCCCCATGTTAAACCTATGAGGGAAAACAAGGAAGTATAAATTTGTTCCTCCGCGAACTGCATCATGGGAAATATTTTGACCTTATAAGGAAAGATTTTCGTGTCTCCTCTTTTGAAGAGGGAACAGCGATTTCGACAATTGGATTACTATCATGGGGAATTCCCCAAAGTGAAAATTCTAGGGATTAAGGAATGGGTACCATTTACATACAGGGTGTCCAAGAAGTAACGTCAATAACCCTGGCATTTTGTCATTTATGCTTCAAATGTCATGACACTTGGTCAGAATGTTCCTTGTACATTTATACATATCAATACGAAGTATGGAGTGACTGGCATTTGATTGGCCGATTTTATGGTTGCCATAGTAACACAAGTGCATGGACCCCGGGGCAGTTCAGAATGTACCTGGTAAATATTATGTAAATCAGGTTATTATAAGGTAAAACCTTTGGCAAAAATGAAATGCAATGTCTTGAGACTTTTTCAAATCTTAACGGTTTTATTGTTTATTGGGAGTTACCATGGTAACACTTCTTTGGAGTACTTTATGACATCATAATATGTTTTCTGTTTTCTGCGCCTTTCACTGCACTGGAACAATGCCCCCGTTCACAAGGCCAGGAACACCATGGAAGTAATTGAGATACTAGGAATACCCCTACTTGAACAAGCTCCATATTCGCCTGATTCGGCCCCTAGTGACTCCTATCTTTATGGTGCACTGAAGGCTAAACTTGCTAGACAGTCTTTCTCTTCACTTTAAAAGAGCTCTGTTCTGTCATCCCTTGCAGAAATGATCTTATAGTCAATAAAATGATTCAAAGTGTATGGATGTTTTGGTTGCAGTGGTTCTGCAACAGGACATAAAATTCTAAAGTAAATTTTGGTTGACTACACATTGCATTCTAACTTTGAGCAAAGTGAGATTATTAAGGTCTTAGTCACTTACTGCCATGCTGCCAACAAGGCCAGATTCATTGTAGATACATCCGTCACAGGTAGGATCATCTTCATCATCGATCAGCTTCGATATCTTATCATCATGCGCCAGATTAATAAGACTGTCACCATCACTACGTGTCGCAACTGATCTCCGGCTCGCATGTGTTGGATCTATATAAACAGCTGTTGAACCAGATTGCCGTGAAGAACGATTGCTTGGAGAACGAAGAATTTCCGTTGTTGCACCACTTCTATTGCACAAACTGACAAAATACCGAAATGTGGACATATTTTGACGTGCCTGGAGTGGCATTCGTTGTGTGATATAAGTCGCACTTCTAGAAGCGTTTTTTAGGCAGAATACGAGGCAAACTAGTAGAATGAGTAAAGCGATGATTGAAATCGATGATATAAACCAGACCTCCTTGTAAAATGGGACCTGAGGCACAGTGGCTGGAAGAAAAATAAACACATTTCATAATACAATTAACTATTTGTGTGGAATAAATAATGTAAGATAGACCTGAAAACTCGATTTATTCTGAATGTTATTTAATTTCTTTCAGGGAATACAAAGTGTGGTGCCTGTGTCATCCTTTTACGTATACTTATTAGGGATGGATTCCCCGTTCCGACAACGGTAGCACTTGAAACTGGAATATATTCTAATGAAATTATGGTTCATGAAGACATGCGATTACAACTGCTTACAAATATTTCTGTGAAACACTGTTTTTGACTTGGCAGACATGTTCATATGTGTTTTTACAGTATTTGTTGTAACTCGTGATGCAATAGAGCGATTTTGTTGACATTTCATCTGATTTATATATTTTTATGAGATACAGATAGAAATTGATATTGTATTAAAAATATTGTAAACAATGGAACATTAATTGCGACACATTAACCATCGTAAAAATAAGATCTCATTTATGTATGCATATATTTTAAACCTTATAATTTACATTAACCATCGTCTATGGACCATGGCATAATGCTGTCAATAAACTAATACGTTTCATTTTAAAATACGTTTCATTTTTCAATCGTTTTCTTTTCGGGGAAGCAAGGGCAGAGGGAGAGGCACGGGCAATTGGTGATTTCTTGGCACTTTTAAAGTGTTAAAATTGACAAATACAACTTTAAAAAATTTCAAATTTTTTTTTTCAAAGGATTGGTATCGATATGGCGAACTGAATTGAACACTTGTTTCTCATAAAAAACACATCATCAATTTAATGGGGGAAGGTAGTACCAGAGGGGGGGGGGTTGTTTTCATTAACTGTATATCTGATAAAAAGGTACTGTATATTGAACTTGATTTCCACTTTGGATCCATACTTTCCAAGGGGAGGGGGGAGGGGCGTTTCCAAGGGGGCGTAACGGTTTGGGGTGAACCTTTTAAGAATTTTGTTTTTTAGAGATTGAGTTTTTAGGTGCTTATTTTGTTTAAACATATTTCATTAAATTATTAATCAGACGAATATAGTTTTAATTTATTTACAGTATGATTCTATCGCATGCATTATGTGAGGTAAGCTGTGATGAGAAATGGAGATACTTATTACAACATATTGCCCAAAAGTCGGGGCCTTTGACCAACATACCTTCTATCTGGATCTGTCTACTCGCTCTACCCGTAGAACTTCTGAAAACAACTATAAATATAAATAACATTATCAAATACTATTTAAGGTATGCTATATCATCATGAGACATACTAAAGCATTCTGACTTATTCATAGGTGAATGGTAGAATAGCTTTCCAGGACAAAATTTACAAGACGATTCCTCAACTTTAGGTGAGAAAGCTATTATTCTTAAGAATACCAAGAAAACCTCGATATGGGGATTGTCAAGACTCTTACTCCTATTTTCTTCTTACAATGGGTAGGATATAATATCTATTTTTTGCTTGCAATGGGTGAGATATAATATTTATAATAACGACTTATCATTTCTTTGAAATAAAAGTAAAACCCAGAGTTGATGGAGTTGATTGTTTAAATGTCACTTTGTGTCTTTAGATATGGGTTAGAGTCAATTAGTAAAACAACTCACATAGTCCTGAGGTAGATCGTACCAGATGGAGACGATGTAGATGTGAATGTATTCCAAGTGCTACCATCTGTACTGTACTGTATTGTCTCACCTGGGTAGCCTGTGTTTGCCTCTAATTTACCATCAACGATTCTATAATTATGGAATGCCTTGCAAAGCTAATATTTAAATTTGACAAAAAAAATATTTCAAAACGTTATATCTCATAACAGAATCTTGTATACCTTGCTCCAGGCAGGGACACTCTATAATTAATCTGCAATTCCTCTAATCTTTTCAGCTCCTTATATCCCAAAGTATGTGCAAAACTCTCCCAGTCATAACTCCTCATGGCTTCTCTCTCAGTCTTATCTGAACTGGATTCCCAATCTGCCTTGTGCCAGGCCCTCTCTGCGAGGGCTATGATCCTGGGAAATATCATATAGTCTAACTGTTCTCCTGTTCGCACAATTTCACTCCATAGTTGACCTTGTATACCTAATAAGTTGGGGACACTTTTGATAATCAATTATATTAATATATACTCTTAAAAACCATGTATTCGACTTTCTAAACCCGAAACGAAAGAAAAACTCAAACTGTAAATGGATATTCACCATTATTCTCTATTTTTGAAAATATATTCAGTAAACATTTATTAAAAATAATTTCCGAGTAGACAATTGAATTGTTTTACTTTCTGCATGCTAGGTGTGAAAATTAACGATACAGAACATCAACGTATTTTGGGAACTCATTTTTGACCCAATGTGTAATTTAAAATACAACTTAACCTTTTTATTGTCATAAAAATAAATGTAGATACCTAAAATCTTGATTCCTGCCTAAATGCTATACCTGAACAGAAAGAGCCAAACAAAATATCAATTTCTTTACCTAATTCAATTTTCTCTACCTGATTCTATCTTTAATCTATTTAGTATGTCAGACCTACCAACTATATTTTCAGGCTTTTCCAAAGGTAGACACCATTCTGCAGATTTTGCACACTCAGTCTCTTTATTCAGCACCTCACCACTCCTTGTAAAATCTATGTTGTCATGGAGACTATCGGGCATAAAACCAAATATTTTTTCTGTGTCAACAAAACGTGGACCCCAGTAAGAACCACGCTCTTCTGGATCAGGCTCATAGGGATGGTCAAAAGACGTGTGTGTTGCCTGAGACATGACCGTCTGGACAAGATGTGATAAGTTTTTTTGGTAACATACGCAATGGATTTACATTACACTATAAACTAAACCAGAATATCAATTACACTGTGTTTTTGGTAATTACAACTTCTAGCAGTAAGACAATAGCTACAAATAAAAAGGATGCTCAGTCAGAAGTGTAAAGATTATAGTAATGTAACACATTAGATGTCACAATTCTCATTAGAGGGAGATTTGCGTGGCAATCGCTAACTTACACATCTAAAATACACAAGTATGCATATAATGTTATAATAATACCTTATATCCTGCATTAGCAAGTTTGTACGCTCTGTTCCCAACACCTAACTCCCAGATATTGTGCCATGTATAGACATACACATCTCTGTTGTTTTCTAACTTTGTGATATCATAAGCAATATCAATATTATCGTCCTTCCCAAGTATACCATCCTCCCATGCACCTAGACCATAGCCCTTCATGATACTAGCTGTTCTTTTCACAAAGTACTCCTTCAGATCTTGATGACTTGCTACTTCACCTGACTCTATCAACTTCTCACAGGCAGTTGATTTAAGCCATGTACCTTCAGCTACCTGGTCTCCTCCAAATATGAATGTTTTCAGAGGAGCTATACCTTCATGGAGCTTAACTGTCTCATTAAGGACTTTTTCCATGAAAGCATATGTTGAGTTCAAGCAAGGGTTTACACTATTATCAGTAAAATATTGATAAGAAAGATACTTGGAAGGATCATCTGGTTCACTTAGAAGATACTGATCTGCTGGACTCCCTTGAATAGGATTAGCTTCAAGCCGTTTTCTTCTTTGTTCCATGGCTATGATAGCAGCATGACAGTGACCGGGAACATCAATCTCTGGAAGGATCTCTATATGCCTGTCTGATGCATACTGCAGAATTTCTCTACAATGGGTCAGGAATACCTGAAGTGAATTGCCGAAACAATATCTTTGAATATTCCTCAGTCAAATTTTACTCTATAATATTTTGAAAAAATTAGAGTCACCTGTAGTCCTGAGCAGTATAGAAGCCATTGGCAGACTTAAATGAGGTCGGACCAGAGCCAAGTTGAGAAAGAACACAATGCTCCTCTGCAAGGTCATGGCATCTGAACCCGCCAATCTAAATATCAAAATTATCTGCATTGGTATATATACATTTTATGGATTAGATTAAAACGTCCAAATGGCGTTCGGACATTATACCGAAACCCATTATACCGACGCGCATTATACCGAAACCCATTATACCGACGCGCATTATACCGAACCCCATTATACCGACGCGCATTGTACTGAAAGGCGTTATACCGAATGTCATAATCACTGTTCCACAACTAGTTACTTTGACGGAACGTCAATGTAACAAAATGGATGAACTTTCTGGTTACGATTTTTTGCTTTCTCGATTTAAACCTACTAATAAGTCAAGTAACAGATTACAATTTGGCCCAAAGCTAGAAAATATAGCATAGTTTTAATAAGATTCTTCGATTTGGAATTTATTTTGTAAATGAAGCTGTAATTCATATACTGAGCCCCTCGCTTTTGTTACATTGACGAAAGCCTGTCGTATTACCAATGTATGTTACTTTGTCAATGGGGTTTTAGCCCGACCATTTTTAGAAAACTTGAAAATCTCTAGAATTTGAATAAAGATAAATGACAGTGCAAAAACTAAGTTGTTTTGATATAGAGAATTACACACAGAATTCAAATAGAAGAAAAAATGCAGATCTCCTAAAATCTCATTAAAACGAGACCTTAACGAGATTTCAAAGCTATATGGAAAAGCTGCTATTAGATAGATGCCTTCACTTGGCTATTCTCTGTAGCGAGTGTAAATTCTTTTCGGAAACATGATTATGTTTTCCCTGTAATATGAATTGGAGATATCTGACAAATATGGATAGCCTAAAATATAAATTTAGTGTTTTTGAACATGCGGAAATATCCTGAACACTTTGAACCTGAAGTACAGTTCCTATTAATAGGTCGTTCAGTTTTCTTGTTTTTGTTCTATATAACACTTGTGTTTAATAGCCACGCGTAATTATTAATAAGCGTTATCAGATTATTTCAAGCGTTGAAATAGCTTATTTTCCTCGACTTATCTACACAAACCTATTCACTTACCGTAATAGTGAGCGTCAATTATAATTGTTTTCACTCATCGGCTTTAGTATTTCATTCATTTGAGACGCAATTGATATATTGGCAACAAATCAAATGTTCTAAATGATTCTTCTTCATTTTGGAATGTTTCCCCGACCCGATATTCAAAGATGTGTCTTAAATATTATACTTTACATTGATCACGATTCTTGTACTTTCTGTCTTTACGACTCCCGTTCACATTTGCAAGAGTTGTTGATTGCATTGCCTTGATCGTTGGTCGAACTTCGATTCCAACTAAATCAAATTAATCAATTAAGAAATGTAATATCATGTTTATCCAAGCAAATAATTGTAACAACTACATTATTTTTTAGCAGTTTTGATACCTAAGCAGGGTAGCCTAGTGGCGTAGACTGAGGCTACTTTGCGGTTGAACGTCGTGGGATACGGAGGTCCCGCGTTCGAGCCCCAGGTACGGAGTTGTTGATCATTGTCACTACGGACACCCGGTCCGAAGGTCCAACCGTTTACCGGCCCTTGGCATGGGTTGGTTCTCTGGCCGCTCTTGCCGGGGACAGATTGTGAGACTGTGGTTGGTTCCTCCACTAACGTGCTTTAGTAAACTCCGGGAGTCATATAGTATGGTAGCGGGCCCCCACCAAGGGCAGTAGTGGAACGACGCGAATCGGTCCCAGTATGGTTGCCTTGCAACTGAAGAGACTCGAGGAAATCATGCCATTCGCAGTGACCCAGAAAAGACTTTTGATTCTTAATTTGACGTTTTAATTCATTTATTTACATACTTTATTCATATTACATTCCAGGCAGTTATGGTTTTTATTGGTCAAAATGAATGAACGAGACATATAGATACTATTAAATACATCTAGATAGTATCAAAACTATAATTCGATTTGTCGAACATATATAAAATAACACTTGAAAACACAACACACATAGCTGCAATATCCGTAGCATTTGGCACAGTTGTTTCCCACGCTCTATCATTTTGTGTGGTCATCATAAGATAAGGACGTACGGTTGATTGGACCATGGTCTTTCAACAGCGTCAAGAAATTGGCATGGATACTTTGAGAAACGAGGTAGCCACAAAAGGAAACATCGGAAATAATCCAGAAATGTCCACACCATTGTTTTCGTTAGTTATGGCAAGGCCCCGGAGGAAAAACAGCATTCGTGGGTAGCTTAATTTTTGTACCAATTAGAGCCATGGCTTAAACCCAACCAAGAACGAGGGAGCAAAGTCACTATGGGTCCCAGTTGAGAATCAGTTCAAATCAAAATCAAATTGAGAATCAGACGACCTGCTAAGTCTAGTATAGATTTGCCCCTAACATAGTTAATGAGCACCATTTTAAACTGCCAATAAAAACATGTATTCAATGTTTCAAAATAATGGAACTGAAATATTGGGCAAATAATTGATATTTCGTTTGTGGAATGAAAACTGATGATAGAGATAATATCAGTCGCCAAAAACTATATAAGCAATTTAAACATGGAAATGATGCCATTTTAGAAGTATTATATGTAAAGAAATGTTTGTGAAATGGTTAGAAAATGAAATAACTTCAGAATTAATGGGACCATTGAGGCACACATTGATAAAAATCACCCTTGGATTTGGAAAGATTTAAAGTAAAACAAATGAATGCGTTTCTTACTATCTCCGTGACAACATATCTTGCTCTCTCTCCATGACAACAATATCGAAAATACAGTAATTATCAAGTTCAATAAGAAATGTGAAACTTTATATTTAATAGCACAATTATTCATTTCTACCAATGAAACAATACAGTATAAATAAATGTTTACTTCATTGAATACAGAATTTACCACGGTTAAATATATTTTATGAAGTACAGGGTTTACCATAATCAAACATAAATAACAGAATTATGACTTTATCCTCTATGAAATACAGAAATTGATGATTAACTGGAATTCAGTTTGTTGAGACGACCCCTCAATCCAAAACGCCTAGCACCAGTTAAAAAATCTCTGGCCGCAACTGAGATGTAAAGATGTTCAAAGATTTTAAATTAAGCTTTATCTAAAAATATGTTTTTGCACGATAAACGTTTAATTGAATATGAATATATAAACAACAGATTGACATTCAGTCTCATATTAAAAAAGTTTAAAGTCAAAATATTGTGGAAGTAAATAAAAAATTTAATTTTCAAGACTTGTCTGTTCAATAAAAAAATCATGTATAATTTGAACCAAGGTGTATGATAAAGTAATATATAAACTATCTATTTTATATGCTGGTACAGTAGACTTTCTCTTGACTTTTCCCGATGTAAAGATATAGTCCCACGCGGAAGTGCACGTCACAAAACTGATGGGTTAAGGCAATGTGCCGTCCCACTGGCACGGATTTCGGTACAACGCGCATCGGCATAATGGGTTTCGGTATAATACGCGTCGGTATAATGAGGTGATCCCGTAAAAATATTTGTCCGATTTTATTTAATTACAAAGCACTATCTATATGAGGAGAAAATTAGAGAGTTCTAACACCCTGTACAGTTGTATTTACCTCTGTGAGTTCTGGAAGGCCCTGAATCTCAAGTCTCCATCCTTCATCATCAGTTAGGTGAATGTGGAGTTTGTTCATCTTATAAAGGGACATGCCATCGATGAGTCTCATTATATCTTCTTTACTGTGGAAGTTCCTAGCCACATCAACATGCATACCTCTGTAGTTATATCTGAAAAACATACTCATAATGCAGGAATAATTCTAAATTCAGTACCTACATGTAGTTCATAGGTCAATTAAGTTAAATTCGACAAGGATGGTGTTTCAGCCTTATCATAAATAGGCAATTCCACTCACATTCAACCACAGGCACGTTCGAGCTAGGCGATTGGGCGCCGTAACCACGAGGTTGCGAGTTCGAGACGCGTGTGCTCCTTGTGTTTATTTATTTGTGTATTCACTACAAAAAACTTTGTCTCGCCATAAAAATACTTATCAAATTAAATATAAAAATTTCAATCAGCTGAACTGACCTAGGCTGATCACTTAGTGTCACAGCAGGAATACTCCCATTGGTACCATCGTGGATACTTATAAGCGACTGGACAGCCCAGAATACACCTGTAGGACTCTTGCCCTCTAGGGTAATCACCTGGCTACTTGTGTCAACTACAAGTGTGTAAGCTTCACTGTTACTGTTGGTTTGGCCATCCACAAGCAAGTTATTGTTAACTTGGAGCAGTACATACTTAGAGCTTGGAGTAACTGTAGTTGTTCCCATTGGCAGTTTTTCTGAAACATTATTTTTTATTAGACTTCTTTAAATATGCACGTTTTCTTATTATTGTTTTGTTACTTTCATTTGTGTATCTGTATATGCTTTCCTAATTTCACTTGATATCATACCTGATAGATATTTAGCTTCTTGTTGCAAATTATCCTTTATCACTATGACCCAGTCTCCAGTTGATATGGAAACAGTCGATGTGTCATCTACCTCTACTTTGACAGGTGTTGGGAGAACTAAGTGTTGAGCAGCACCAAGATCATCTTGGACAGCATTGATAGTGAATCGCTTCTCAGGGGTATAGGGATCATACCTAGAAAAATAATAGTACCATAATTATAATAATGTAAATGTACATGTAATGTAAATATCCGAATAGTTTGGTTTTGAATTCATGAAATCATTGTAAATAACAATGCCGGCAATACATTTTTTATGTTGAAAGTGGTAGGTTTGATTACACGAGCTCTAAACATTTTGAAGGAGACATCGAAGTAATACATACTTGTCACTTTCGTATCGTTTCCATTTCTCAGTCGAATCAAATGCAGAAACAAAGTCAAGATCTTCGGAGGCTGTACTTTGAATTGTACGGGGCTCAAGACCATCCGCTGCCACATACCAATTGGGCATAGTATCACTTCGAGAAACCATCCAGTCTCCAGCAATGAACGAAATTTCACGTGACTCACCAGCAGTAATATCTTTAAATGTAGCCGTTGGCTCTACTTTAAACAAGCAGCCATTTACATGGGACCATTTTGCACCGGTATTGGGGTCAGTGTATCCATACGGGTCGTCTATGTAATTGCCATGATATATTTTTGACTCTTTTATTAACTTTATATGGCAAAAGTATATGGCCCATGCATCATTGGTGATAACCTTTTGGCCAGAGTTCGTCAAGGTGATTTTTCCTGTATACGTGGCATCATTAGGCTTGAAGTTAGTGACAACTTCATATGTGATATCTAGATTGTCAGCAATGTAGTCAAGTTTTCGCTGCGTGAGGGCCCCATCTGTAAAAATTTAAAACGTTTCAGTTTGCCATTCATTCATAACACAATTAGGGAGTTCCCGGATTACCATTTGACTACAGAAGGTGTTCATATTGACACAGGCAGATATGATATGCCAATTAAAGTGCTGAAAGTATGTAATCTAAAAGATAAGTATTGAATTAAACTGCAGGCACTAAAATATTGAGTTAGTTACTCCGTTACTTGTTACTTTAAAAAAATTCAACCACAACACGATTGACTTTGAACATGAAAAAGCTGAAAATGACTTTTTGTCAAATGGTAGATAGAGTAAAAACCGAAAACCGTAATTCCGAGAGATTTTGAATCTTCAGAGAACACAGCAACTACTAACATTTATTATTTATTAGAAAGTTCTACTTTAACAAAGTGTCTGATATTTTAAAAAATTGTCTTTTTTTACGTCAAAGTCGGAATTTTTTTGAAACCTGCTAAACTTGGAAAATTGGCGATAACGTGTCAAATAGCCACTATGTATATACATAAATTGAATATAGATATGACTTTGTACGAATAGCAATTTTAAATTTGTGTCGCAAATGCTGACGGTAGGACAGACCAACGGACGGACGACTAGTTCATAGGCTCACTGTATGAGCCAAAAATTATTTGTACTTTTCAAAACCCAAGGTCAATCAAAAACAAGGCCATCGGACACCCGACACGTGTGTATGTCATCGTGAAACTGCCCTACGACATAGCTATGGCCTGTCTAGTTCTAATGCAATCTAGAAAGAAAATCAACTGTTGGCATAAGATACATTGAAAACTCGAGTTTTCGCGAGTTTCGCATTTTATGATGCGAGTTTCGAATCATATAGGAGTGTCACATTATGTGGTTCGATTTCACGGCTTGTTTATTCCATAATACTATTGTTTTCCCAGGGAAATATGAAGGAATAATCGTATTGAATCGCATTTCATGAAAAATCGTATTGTCCCCGGGAGAAAAATCGTATTGGAGCGTATTACATGAAAAAATCGTATTGTCCCCGGGAAAAATTGTATTGGAGCATATTAAGCTATTTTCGGTTTCCCGGTTATTTTTTCCCGTTTATTTGCATTATCCAAATGTAGAATTTTAGAGGGGTGTATTATGGAATAAAAAGGTTAATTTTGGTCAGGATTGAATATGGGTTTTATTCCTCGGAAAATATGACATTGACACTAGGTCACTGCACTACCTCGGTCAATATCATATTACCCTTCGATCAATATCATATTGTCCCACGGAATAAAATCCATATTCAATCCCTCTCAGTAAATAACCTATATCTATTGTCCAATTCTAAATGAATAAATTCCATAGTACTGTATGTGATTATACTCGATTAGGAAAATATCAAAACTGCAGCTTTAAGTCATTGAATTATTAAATGCTCACCTATGACTTTAACTACATCCAGTGCAATCGCTGTTAGTAGCAAAATTAGGTAAGCTGCCATTGTCGCTTGCTTTGACTGCTTGAATGCCCTATGTCAAACGCAATACATTCTAAATGTTACATAGTTTGAGCATCGACTCTAGGTTAACTGTCTCATTAAAACAATAATCGAAGATCAAGGTCTATTATATGCGTATATTATCGAGCATTATTTTTATTTTTATTGGATTGTTGGTTTGTTTACGAAATATACATCTATGTGATTGATATGTATTAATTGAGAGTTAATAACGAGATTGAACCAACGCTGACATTTTTAACACTCATAACGAAAACTCGTGTTCATTTTTCCCGTTTCCCGTTTTGCCTCAGTCTCACGTGTCGTCCAGGTGCAGATATTATGGCAGTCATTGCTCTTCCTCAAATAATCATTGAATTGCGACTTAAACTGGGGAAGGAGTACATTAAGATCTAGTCAGCTGTTCATAAACAATAACGAAATGCAATATCAGTGAATGTTATGCAGAAAAAGTATTCTTTGGAAATAATTGAAGAGAAAACATGAGGAGTTTTAGATTTTTCATTTCATTTCGTATCCGTTTCACGTTCAAGTGCGAATCTTTCTAACATTGCAAATCTTTTCTTGGGTATGAATCTATAAGCAGTGGCAAAATTGCGGCAACATACGAGCGCCAACCACCATGCCACCGAACACCGCCTACAAAAAAGTTGGAGACTATTACAATTTATGTCACCACATGTGGTGGTGTCATTAAAATGAAAGCATTGTTGTAAACATCTTCAGTTTTCCTCAGATGAATATATCGGTTGTCCCAAAAAGTGAATCGCTTTTTGACAAGTATTTTCTCAGCAATAGATAAGCTGAACTTATATTCCATTATAGAGAATGATGTATATTTTTCTATATTGAGAAATATCAAACTTACCATTAAATAGGTCTATAGCCTATAACGACTAAAACATTAAATGCTAGTCGCCGTGTGACCAATCGTGCGAGAAGGTGTGCAAAATAAAATTTTATGGAATTTGTTGCAATACACAATATATGGTGGTTTTGTTTGCGTTGATTCTATTTACATCATTACTACTAACTATTATAAATGGAGGGGATACCGGGGCAAAACAAGGCACTATTTCCAGTGTTTTATATACTACAACATGATTGTCATTCGAAATAAATGCGAAGTCAAGATAGCGGGCAAAATAGCTGTATCTGCTTTTTGAGTTTGGTTGTTATTGTCTGCAATATGGTAAGTGTTCTGATGAAATACGGGACACGCTTATAATTGAATCAAATGAACAACTCTTTAACTGTGCCAACATATGATTCCAAAGTTTACAATCCCTAATTTCCATAATAAGAAATCTTGTTTTATCATTAACCAATTGCTGAGAAATAATTTACACTCAATTTTATGTGATATTCAATACCTACATGTCAATATTGAATATCATATACTAGTATTCTACAAAATGTCAGTTAATAACGAGATTGAACCAACGCTGACATTTTTTAACACTGAACGAAAACTCGTGTCCATTTTTTCCCGTGTCCCGTTTTGCCCCAGTCTCCCTAAACATGTATATTGTTTAATCTCTAGAAGTAAAGCTTTACGTTATTGCATCATTAATAAACCATCAGAGTAAACCAGAAGCGTTTATATTTTTATAATTCGAGCTATTAAATTATATAAATGTATATTTCACGACCATCCATTGAGTCGGAACAAATGCTAACATTTGGATGCAATCTTATGCTGCATATACATCGCGATAGCCGCGCCCCCTTTGTCTCTATCCTTCCAAAGTGCTCTCGCTTATATTACGGCAGGTAAGAGGGGCTCTGACATACCAGAATGCTGCATATATGCAAGATTAAATCATCTAAGTAGATATGCAGGATAAGATCAATTGCATCCCCATGTTAAGCCAATGATGTGTGGCATTTTTAGTGTAGATCCAGGTGTGGCTGCAAAGGAATAGACGACACATCTTGTAAATGCTCAGGCACATCTAATTCGGCTAGTAGTCTGAAACGTCCTATGGAGGTACTCCATGGAGTATAGTTTTACTATGCAAAAGGAGAAGTCGGGATATTGCAAAAAAGTTATGCAACATTATGTGGGTGGGTGAAATTTTATGTGTGTCTCACAGTATATACTATGTTGTAAAAAAGTTCTATCTCTAATTTGAATTAAGACATTGATAATTAAAAAGTATATGTTTTACATATTTTTGTAATGTTGCTTTTATTTCAAAACAAGCGGACTTAAAGGATAGGCATCAATATGCTAACTGTCCCAATCCTTCCACTCTGAGATTTGAACAATGCTTGGTGAAGAAAGATACATTCTTCTGGAGCTGAAAACTTGTACTGTTGGAGTTAAAAGTGCGTGTCTGGGAACATTTGTTCCTTAGTGGGCATCCCTTTAGAACTGGAAAGGTCATCCACATTCTGTAACACATACACAAACACACATAAATACGAGGGTTGTAAAGGTACTGCAAGGTCAAGACTCACTAAAGTTTGTCGAATTATGATGATCTCAGACATCTGCTGATAACGCAATGTAGGACACCCACTGGACTTAATGAAGCCCTTCACCTGTCGAAGTGTTAATTCTTGATCAGTTTGAAGTGATTTCGTTGATGTTTATTTGAAAACGTAGCATACATATCTCAAAACTAATGAAGTATATATTATGGCAGTCATTGCTCTTCCTCAAATAATCATTGAATTGCGACTTAAACTGGGGAAGGAGTACATTAAGATCTAGTCAGCTGTTCATAAACAATAACGAAATGCAATATCAGTGAATGTTATGCAGAAAAAGTATTCTTTGGAAATAATTGAAGAGAAAACATGAGGAGTTTTAGATTTTTCATTTCATTTCGTATCCGTTTCACGTTCAAGTGCGAATCTTTCTAACATTGCAAATCTTTTCTTGGGTATGAATCTATAAGCAGTGGCAAAATTGCGGCAACATACGAGCGCCAACCACCATGCCACCGAACACCGCCTACAAAAAAGTTGGAGACTATTACAATTTATGTCACCACATGTGGTGGTGTCATTAAAATGAAAGCATTGTTGTAAACATCTTCAGTTTTCCTCAGATGAATATATCGGTTGTCCCAAAAAGTGAATCGCTTTTTGACAAGTATTTTCTCAGCAATAGATAAGCTGAACTTATATTCCATTATAGAGAATGATGTATATTTTTCTATATTGAGAAATATCAAACTTACCATTAAATAGGTCTATAGCCTATAACGACTAAAACATTAAATGCTAGTCGCCGTGTGACCAATCGTGCGAGAAGGTGTGCAAAATAAAATTTTATGGAATTTGTTGCAATACACAATATATGGTGGTTTTGTTTGCGTTGATTCTATTTACATCATTACTACTAACTATTATAAATGGAGGGGATACCGGGGCAAAACAAGGCACTATTTCCAGTGTTTTATATACTACAACATGATTGTCATTCGAAATAAATGCGAAGTCAAGATAGCGGGCAAAATAGCTGTATCTGCTTTTTGAGTTTGGTTGTTATTGTCTGCAATATGGTAAGTGTTCTGATGAAATACGGGACACGCTTATAATTGAATCAAATGAACAACTCTTTAACTGTGCCAACATATGATTCCAAAGTTTACAATCCCTAATTTCCATAATAAGAAATCTTGTTTTATCATTAACCAATTGCTGAGAAATAATTTACACTCAATTTTATGTGATATTCAATACCTACATGTCAATATTGAATATCATATACTAGTATTCTACAAAATGTCAGTTAATAACGAGATTGAACCAACGCTGACATTTTTTAACACTGAACGAAAACTCGTGTCCATTTTTTCCCGTGTCCCGTTTTGCCCCAGTCTCCCTAAACATGTATATTGTTTAATCTCTAGAAGTAAAGCTTTACGTTATTGCATCATTAATAAACCATCAGAGTAAACCAGAAGCGTTTATATTTTTATAATTCGAGCTATTAAATTATATAAATGTATATTTCACGACCATCCATTGAGTCGGAACAAATGCTAACATTTGGATGCAATCTTATGCTGCATATACATCGCGATAGCCGCGCCCCCTTTGTCTCTATCCTTCCAAAGTGCTCTCGCTTATATTACGGCAGGTAAGAGGGGCTCTGACATACCAGAATGCTGCATATATGCAAGATTAAATCATCTAAGTAGATATGCAGGATAAGATCAATTGCATCCCCATGTTAAGCCAATGATGTGTGGCATTTTTAGTGTAGATCCAGGTGTGGCTGCAAAGGAATAGACGACACATCTTGTAAATGCTCAGGCACATCTAATTCGGCTAGTAGTCTGAAACGTCCTATGGAGGTACTCCATGGAGTATAGTTTTACTATGCAAAAGGAGAAGTCGGGATATTGCAAAAAAGTTATGCAACATTATGTGGGTGGGTGAAATTTTATGTGTGTCTCACAGTATATACTATGTTGTAAAAAAGTTCTATCTCTAATTTGAATTAAGACATTGATAATTAAAAAGTATATGTTTTACATATTTTTGTAATGTTGCTTTTATTTCAAAACAAGCGGACTTAAAGGATAGGCATCAATATGCTAACTGTCCCAATCCTTCCACTCTGAGATTTGAACAATGCTTGGTGAAGAAAGATACATTCTTCTGGAGCTGAAAACTTGTACTGTTGGAGTTAAAAGTGCGTGTCTGGGAACATTTGTTCCTTAGTGGGCATCCCTTTAGAACTGGAAAGGTCATCCACATTCTGTAACACATACACAAACACACATAAATACGAGGGTTGTAAAGGTACTGCAAGGTCAAGACTCACTAAAGTTTGTCGAATTATGATGATCTCAGACATCTGCTGATAACGCAATGTAGGACACCCACTGGACTTAATGAAGCCCTTCACCTGTCGAAGTGTTAATTCTTGATCAGTTTGAAGTGATTTCGTTGATGTTTATTTGAAAACGTAGCATACATATCTCAAAACTAATGAAGTATATTTTAAAACATTTGCGACTCTAACATAGATGTGACTCTTAATTAAAACTTCATTAATTTTAACAATGAATGACATCAATGAAATTCAACAATGACTGTGAATCTTATATTAATTTATTTCACAATTGTTCTCACTAGTGGAAAGTCCAAAAATATGTCCTGTTTAAGAACCATATTTTTATTACTATGAACCGTTAGATATTGCTCTACTAGTTCTTGTATTTAAAGCAAATCGCTTGCAGATTTAGAAAAAATTGGGGATTTCAGCAAGGGGCGATTTTCAAAAATTATCTAACAATATTTTTAGAAGAAATTTCTACACAGTATAGACAATCGTTTCATATCAGCTATATCGAAGACCTTATAGTGCCAGATAAAATCAAAATAAAGTTTGTCAAATGTTGTAATCATCAAATTTGATTTTTGATGACCTTCCTATTGGCTATCATCATTTTTTTCTGTTGGTGAAAATGGAAAACAATTGTTATATAGACATCTAGAATATAGTAAATAAGGCTGTTTAAACAACTAAATGATATGTAATTATTGTTAAAATTGTTTTACCAGTGGAAAGCAAGAACGGTTTAAAAATATAATTAGATAAAAATACGTTACAAAACATTTTTTCGGAAAATTTAGAATAAGAAATAGACACTTCTTATACCCTAAATAACTTTTATGTGCTTAAATAGATTGACCTGATTATAGCCAAAATGAATTAATAAATGAGCATATTATTTATCCTAGAGGTAAAGTGTGTAGTTACTTCAAAAGAGAGTATAACTTAGTAAAAGGCAAGTCTCGATTTGAAGAACAGTCTACTTTGACAATAATTTTTTATTACACCCATATTAAATTATGAATATTCAAAAAAGAATATTTGAAGTAATGTGTAAAAACTGTCCAAAGCAGGCGTAACGTGCAATATACCGATTCAATAAATGACTCGGTTTGGAGAACGAAGTTCATCAGTCTACTTCGCTAATATTTTTTAATGAAAAATAACACCCAAATAAGATTTATGGATATTCAAAAGTGGACATTTCAGTAGCTGATGAATTTCGTTCTTCAAACTGATACTAGTCTTTTATAAATTGAATTTTCGTAAGATGTTTTGCAGGGCCCCTGTTTAAGTCAGATACTAGTGCATGTTTGACTTTATAAAACTCCATGGGTTTTGACTAAAGGACCATGAGTTGTTTGTAGAATGAATCTGGAGAGTTTTTTCATGCATTTCGCTTGTGTTTTTCATCTAGAAAAACATCAATAAACTTTAAAACATTTTACTGACTATAAGATTGCGCCAAATAATCCCCCCAAAAATTCTAATTTTAAAGGATTATCTATGGATTAACATCCAGGTATTTTTATTTTTCAAACTTCAGAGGGCTGGGAATAATTGATTACGAAATCGAATAAAATAAATGATGTTTTAAATAGGTTTCATGTGTGCCAATAATGTCCCAAAATGTGTAAATGATACCCATTCTTTAATCCCAAGAATTTTCTCTTTGAGGAATTTCCCATAGTAATCCAATGGTATAGTTCCAATACACACCTTATTGAGTTGTGATATAAACCAAAACAACCCAATAAGGTGTGTATTAATAATTAACTTTCCTGTTATCTCAAAATCTGTTTGAAATTATACAATTGGATTACTATCATGGGGAATTCCCCAAAGTGAAAATTCTAGGGATTAAGGAATGGGTACCATTTACATACAATTTGAAAAACGATTGAATGAAACCTATTTAAAACAGCATTAATAATATTCAAAAATATTCGTTATTAATGATTTCCAGTTCTCCGAAGTTTGGAAAATAAAAATACTTGGTTGTTAATCCATAGATAATCTTTGAAAATGAGAATTATTGTTTTTGGATTATAGGGTGCAATCTTATAGTCAATAAAATGATTCAAAGTGTATGGATGTTTTCAAGATGAAAAACACAAGCGAAATGCGTGAAAAACTCCCCTGATTCATCTTACAAACGACTCGCGGTCCTTTGTAAAAATAAATCAAAGACTGTCTATATTACTGTGTCTACTGTCAAAGTATTGAAAATAGTGGTTCTGCAACAGGACATAAAATTCTAAAGTAAATTTTGGTTGACTACACATTGCATTCTAACTTTGAGCAAAGTGAGATTATTAAGGTCTTAGTCACTTACTGCCATGCTGCCAACAAGGCCAGATTCATTGTAGATACATCCGTCACAGGCAGGATCATCTTCATCATCGATCAGCTTCGATATCTTATCATCATGCGCCAGATTAATAAGACTGTCACCATCACTACGTGTCGCAACTGATCTCCGGCTCGCATGTGTTTGATCTATATAAACAGCTGTTGAACCAGATTGCCGTGAAGAACGATTGCTTGGAGAACGAAGAATTTCCGTTGCTGCACCACTTCTATTGCACAGACTGACAAAATACCGAAATGTGGACATATTTTGACGTGCCTGTAGTGGCATTCGTTGTGTGATATAACTAGTCGCACTTCTAGAAGCGTTCTTTAGGCAGAATACGAGGCAAACTAGTAGAATGAGTAAAGCGATGATTGCAATCGATGATATAAACCAGACCTCCTTGTAAAATGGGACCGGAGGCACAGTGGCTGGAAGAAAAATAAACACATTTCATAATACAATTAACTATTTGTGTGGAAGAAATAATGTAAGATAGACCTGAAAGCTCGATTTATTCTGAATGTTATTTAATTTCTTTCAGGGAATACAAAGTGTGGTGCCTGTGTCATCCTTTTACGTATACTTATTAGGGATGGATTCCCCGTTCCGACAACGGTAGCACTTGAAACTGGAATATATTCTAATGAAATTATGGTTCATGAAGACATGCGATTACAACTGCTTACAAATATTTCTGTGAAACACTGTTTTTGACTTGGCAGACATGTTCATATGTGTTTTTACAGTATTTGTTATAACTCGTGATGCAATAGAGCGATTTTGTTGACATTTCATCTGATTTATATATTTTTATGAGATACAGATAGAAAATTGATATTGTATTAAAAAATATTGTAAACAATGGAACATTAATTGCGACACATTAACCATCGTAAAAATAAGATCTCATTTATGTATGCATATATTTTAAACCTTATAATTTACATTAACCATCGTCTATGGACCATGGCATAATGCTGTCAATAAACTAATACGTTTCATTTTAAAATACGTTTCATTTTTCAATCGTTTTCTTTTCGGGGAAGCAAGGGCAGAGGGAGAGGCACGGGCAATTGGTGATTTCTTGGCACTTTTAAAGTGTTAAAATTGACAAATACAACTTCAAAAAATTTCAAAAATATTTTTTCAAAGGATTGGTATCGATATGGCGAACTGAATTGAACACTTGTTTCTCATAAAAAACACATTATCAATTTAATGGGGAAGGTAGTACCAGAGGGGGGGGGGGGGTTGTTTTCATTAACTGTATATCTGATAAAAAGGTACTGTATATTGAACTTGATTTCCACTTTGGATCCATACTTTCCAAGGGAAGGGGGGGGGGGGCGTTTCCAAGGGGGCGTAACGGTTTGGGGTGAACCTTTTAAGAATTTTGTTTTTTTAAAAGATTGAGTTTTTAGGGGCTAATTTTGTTTAAACATATTTAATTAAATTATTAATCAGACGAATAAAGTTTTAATTGATTTATAGTATGATTCTATCGCATGCATTATATGATGAGGTAAGCTGTGATGAGAAATGGAGAGACTCATTACAACATATTGCCCAAAAGTCGGGGCCTTTGACCAACATACCTTCTATCTGGATCTGTCTACTCGCTCTACCCGTAGAACTTCTGAAAACAACTATAAAAATAAATACGATTATCAAATACTATTTAAGGTATGCTATATCATCATGAGACATACTAAAGCATTCTGACTTATTCATAGGTGAATGGTAGAATAGCTTTCCAAGACAAAATTTACAAGACGATTCCTCAACTTTAGGTGAGAAAGCTATTATTCTTAAGAATATCAAGAAAACCTCGATATGGGGATTGTCAAGACTCCTACTCCTATTGTCTCCTTACAATGGGTAGGATATAATATCTATTTTTTTGCTTGCAACGGGTGGGATATAATATTTATAACTAGACTGTGGAAATTGAACAAGTTCAATTTCATACTCCAGATGACAGATTTGTCATGACCTGACTAGACGTGAGTGATGACCTGACTTATAACATATCTGATTACCTGACTGATGACATGACTGATGTCCTGACTGATGACCTGACTGATGATCTGACTTGTCACCTGACTGATGACACGACGGATGACCTGACTGATGACTTAACTAATGACCTTACTAATGACCTGACCGATGACCTGACCTGACTGATGACATGACTGATGAATCGATTGGTAACCTGACATATGGCCTGACTGATGACCGGACTGATGACCTGACCTGACTTGACTGACAATGGTATTTTTCAAATATTGTTTTTAATACTTTTAATACTTTTTCCAAAATTTCAAAATGTGTACCAGAAGTGAAATTGCAATTCTGATTTCAGATTCGGCATCCCGAAAAACTTTTGAGAAATGTTTTTGCCACCTTTAAACACTGGATTTGGATAACTTTTTAGTTGACCTACTGTCTGGATACTTTATCTTAAAACCGGGTCAAAATTCCTTTAGACGGCGAATGGCTAACACTATAAGCATAATTTTTTCAAAAATACTAAACACCCATTCTCAATAAGAATGCAAAATCGATGTCCCAGGGCTCAATCTCAGCATTTACATTACGAACATCACTTTTTGTTGTATATATAAATAGTACATATGACCCTCTACCTAGCACATATGTAATATATAATTTCTCAGTTACACCTATTTTATTATATGTACTAGAATAGGGCTATTCATCAGTTACGTGACTGTCGCCATATCAAAAATCAGGATTGTATGGTGCCATTAGAACACTTTTCATGCGTTACATCCCATATAAAGTGGTGTTTCATACACAGGACGATCCCAGCTTCTGGTTAAATGACAGAAACTATCATTTTGACATATTTACCATGTTGAAAATGTTCCTTGACAAATGTCGCCAGACTTTTTTATATCAACCCCCTTGTGCTATAAATCATATAAAAACTGGTGAAAAATTAATGTTTTATATGTGCCATATTCGTATCTGGATTCCAATTTGAATACTTAATAGAACGTCGTACAAGTTGATATTTGAAACGTTGAGATTTGGGGGCCAGAAAATTATAATTCCCGTTTTTCATGAAGTTATAGATAAGAAAATCATTTACGTGATCATAGTTTCCACAGGCAATAAGTGTCTGAGCATATTAATGTTATATCACCTTATTGTATGGTAGGAGTGACCCTGGCTGATCAGTATTTTTAACTAAATTGACATTGTTTGAATATAATACAGCCAGCAAAAGGGTATTTGCATCATTTACGACACCATCATTTACGATACCTAGTAGTACGAAAATAACGGTTACCATACTCCTAGCTCTGAATAAAGTTTATAAAGCGGGAAATTTGAGTATCCATATTCATTTGAATCTGAATAAAGAAACACTACCACCTTTTTAGAGTAAATCCACACAATTTAACGTATATATCACACCTAATATAGTATCTCTCTTGTTAAAAGAAGATGTAGTGTTAATTTGATGTTATCTATGGCATAAACACAGTCGGTATAAATGTGAAAATGAACATAAAAACACTTTTCTATCATTCATTTTGAAGTGAACCTATAGTCTTGCGTTTTCTATGTCATAAATTACGTTACCCATGGTAACGTAATTGATAAATTCTATTGCACACATTTTCTATCGTCAAATCTTTACAGATATGTTCATTTATCAACTTGTACTTTGCGTAGATGGGAAAGCATCCTGCTGAAATTCAAGAAGACTATCGTGATAGGAAAAAAGCACCAAATAGAGCGTGCTCGGGTTCATAAATGCATTGTCTCAATAGCTGCGTGCACTATCTGAAAAGATAAAGACCATAAAAGAAAAAAATATGTCATTGCGTCCGAGACATGTTATGTTAGTCTCAGATAGCGTAATAATACAGGAGACAAATCAAAAAGAAGAAAACTGTTAGCACAGTGTAGCAATGACCCAAGTAGGCTTAATGCCGATAACAATGATTGTGACCGTGTTTATGGCAGTGGTACAAGTAACACACAATTTATAGTTCATATTAATTTTGCCTGGAATTTTGCAAGAGGACATGCATGGCTCTTTAGAAAATGGATAAGTAGAACTTGGGGACGTACGTAGCCATAAGAAAACAAAGCTCCCTGAACATAGATAAACAGGGACAAAACAATCACAAATCATTCCCAAGGATCTTACAGAAGCAGAGAAAAATAGAATGAAGGGTCCAAGCACGCCAAAAACACCAAAGAGTGCAGGGGAAAAGTGATGCGATGCAAACTTTAGCATAGTGATATCCCTAGAGTTGATGCCTGAAAAGTGTTCAAGTCTAGTTGATATAATATTACTAAAGGCGATGGAAGATGATACAAGCTTAAGGGCCTTGCCTGGCTTGACAAAAATGAAATGAGTACTCGACGTTTACCACAAGCAAAGGAATATTTTGTTGAAGCAAATAAACAGTGTTAAAAGTGCACCGCACAAAATGAAACGAACCAGGAATGACATACAAGAAGAGACAACCAAGAGTATTCTGACTGCGGACTGAGAGTGGAGATAAAGAGCTACATCTTGGCGATTTTTTTCACTGCAGTTTACAATACTGTTGGTATGTCGAAAAGGCACTGCATGTGATACTGATGATGATAAATACTATTTTTTAGGAAAAGAAGAATCTCCAATGGTCTCTAGAATGTTACGTTATTTGGCTGAGAGTCTCAGATTTTGAGTGTGTAGTAGAAGAGTCAATCCCAACAGGGAAGTTTAAAGGGCTATTTAAACTCTAGATCTGTGTCCTGAGATTTAAACTCATGTTCTATGGGATCTATATGTCCAAGCTAGGATTTAGAAACGTTTTCAGGAGTTCATATGTACCTATGATATAAGAGTAGACACTGAATGTTGTTACTTTTTGACGATAATCACAAATTATATAGTATAGTTTTGATCTTGTGATTGTAAGTTTTGTAATCACTTACGTTACAAAGGATTTAGCATTACAAATGTGTGAAGAAAGGTTATGTCCTTTTAATCCTGTATATATTCATTCCAACATATAGCGTATGTGACAATATATTAATTCATTACGTGTTTTGTGCATAAATAATGTTTGTGTTAGCTTTAATGTTTCTATTGCAAAAGTTAGTTAATTTCACCATCATTTACGTTACATGATGGTCCACAGAACTATGTTTTTTAAATGTTACTATTGGTTAAAATGTAGTGTAAACATGATAAAAGAAGCACCAGTTGATGGTTTAACCATGATCACATATGATATGACTCATTCTACGATGTTACTTTTTTGGATCATATACGTTACCAAGGGTGTAACGATATACAAATCTCAAATACATTTTGTATGGCATATCAAACACCAAGATACGGCTATCATTTTATTCCGAACACTATTTCTAATCAGAAAAGAAATATAAATTTAATGTTATCAAACTGAGTTTTTATAAAGTTGGAATGACATGTAGCACTTAGGTTCTGTTTGTGAAAAGGAATAATAAGTCACATTTTAATTGTTGACTTCAATGTGAATTCTTTCCACTTGTGTATCTTCAAAATGCCTGATGTATGATTTAGTATTAAGACAAAATATATCCTTATTGTTAGGAACAAAAACAGACATGAGAATAATATGTTGAATGAAAATATAGGTCTCTTGCTACGACAACCCCCTATAACGTAAATGACAGAGACTTACTTTTTTAAATGAATACTAGATAAGCTTCAACATGTGACTTTTCCATGAAGGGGTATGAGATTGATGAAGATATTTTCACTTTAGATACTTAACATATATTCAAATAGAAATACATCAACTTTAAACCATTTAAAGCTACTTTAATTTTTGTCAGATTCATACCTGGAATTTGCATTCTTATTGAGAATGGATGTAAATATTTAAGTGTAGTGTCAGGATCGTGAAAATAAGAAAAAATCATAGATTTTGACCTTGGCATTCAAGTGTCCAGATTTTGAATTAGGATAGCTTTACTGGTCCTATAACTATTGTAGTTAAAAAAACTGAATATAGTCCCAACACAATTGTGATGATGTCGAGTCTATGAGCTCATATATTGGTACAATTGTCATCTTTTTGCAATGACAATATGCGATTCTTCTAAAGTGTGTTTATTTAGGTAATCTGAAGGACAATTTGGAGTCAAATGGCGTATTAATTTTGGCTTTATTTTTTAAGAATTTCAATCTGTGGCAGCAGAGGGAGGGGGTAGTGTTCAGTGCAAAATGTGACGTTTTAATCCACTGACCAATAATAAGGCAAGTTTGGCGACACATCTGTCTTACGCATTGTCCATATAATACTAAATACACGTGACACTAGGCATGATTGTGATACCTTGGCTTCAATCTGAGTAGCGTACACTTCGTTCTGCATTCCGCAATTGTTAGTTTGATGAAGGAAATCGTATTTATTTCTCGTACCATTTCGTTTGGGGAATTTTTGATGGAGGAAGGTGAAGTTTCGTAAGGTTGTCAATGTCATACGAAATTTTCAAATGCTTTTAACCAGAGAAAATAATTGGGCGATTTAAATTTGATTTTTAGTTCTGGAATGCTCGGGATGTCTTCTTTCAAGGCAGATAGACAGTGTTGTTAAATATTTCTGGGAGGCTTTAGATATGAAAATAGATCAAATACGAAATGCTTTTTGTATTTAACCTTTAAAGGTTCCTCGAATTTCAGACAAAACTATTTAATACAGTACAAGTATTGGCGAACCTGACAAATCGACCAAAACTTCGACCTTGACATTTGAGCTCTCAACATTTTAGAATAAGTTGGATTGAAATTTGATATTCGGATTCCTAAAAAGATTCTACAACCCTAACCCTGTAACCGTAACCTCGTCTCTAACCCTAACTCGGAGCTAACCCTAACTCTGGTTCTAATTCTAACGCTAATCCTAAAGCTGTCTCCAACCCTATATGGTTTTTGCTCAAATAACGTTTTTTGGGCAAATAGAGCACCTTTCCATCTTCAGGGGAGACCTTCAAACACTTTATAACTAATGGCCCGATTTCAATTTGGTTGACAGTTCTGAAATCCTCAGGATATTTGCCTTCGCGACAATTTAGTGATATTTGAATTTAATATTCTGCGATCACGAAGGCCCCGGGGGACAAAACACTGAAAATATTATTCCCCTTATTGAGCTTTGAATATTCTGACACCAACACCAATACACACGTAAAAGACTAAATTATAACTCTAACCCTAGCTTTAACGATCGGGCTAGTTTAACTCTAATCCCAACCCTAAACCTAACTGTAGCTCAAGGACTAACCCCAATACAAGCTCTAGCCCCGACCCTGGGTTTAACTATAATCATAGTTTTAATCCCTTAGCTTTCATCCTGACACAAATCTAAAAATTAACTCTTTCAATTCGGATAATCTTTGAAAATAACGATTTACTAAAACGTATAGAAGCTTTAAAGGAATGCTTTCCCCGAATTTTAGACGAAAATATTGAAGTGTAAGGCGTCTATCGGCAAAACTAATGAAATTACATAGATTGTGACCTTGACCTTAAAGCTTAAAAATTTTGAGTTTACTGACATTTTTAGGTCTCTAATGCATCGTTTTTATCTATATTAAAGTGAAAATTATGATTTTGAAAAGTTGACATTTTTCACTCTAAAAGGCCGTAGAAAGTCAACGGGTCGTCGGATTTCAATTCGGTTTGTAGATTCGGAATCCTGAGAAAATTTCCCATTATTTTGACACTTAACACGTTGAATTTGGAGAACTTTATTTTCTGACCTTCTTTCCGGACGACATATCTCAAAATTGGGAAGAGTAATCGAAAAAAGGTCCCCAAGGTTTTTTATAGGTTATTTCAAAGGAATGCAATGGAACATAAATCGAGACGTAAAACTGAAAAATAGTGGAGAAAACTGGAAAAATTACGTTTTGACTTAGTTTTTGACCTTTGACCTAGATAAAAAATTGACCCAATTTACCATCGACTAGGCCTCTAACCTTGATAAACCATATACTTGTCTTTACTGGAGACCTCATAGTTTCTGAGAAAACTTGGTTAGAAAAATAAAAATAAGAAAAAGAAAAGCTATGAAAACAATATACTCCAGATTTCATCTGGAGTATAATAACTCTTTAGATATGGGTTAGACATGTTCGAGTCAATCAGTAAAACAACTCACATAGTCCTGAGGTAGATCGTACCAGATGGAGAAGATGTAGATGGAGAAGATGTGAATGTATTCCATGTGCTACCATCTGTACTGTACTGTATTGTCTCACCTGGGTAGCCTGTGTTTGCCTCTAATTTACCATCAACGATTCTATAATCATGGAATGCTTTGCAAAGCTAAGATTTTGACAAAAAAATTTCAAAACGTTTTATCTCATAACGGAATTTTCACTTATGTATACCTTGCTCCAGGCAGGGACACTCTGTATTTAATCTGCAACTCCTCTAATCTTTTCAGCTCCTTATATCCCAAAGTAAGTGCAAAACTCTCCCAGTCATCACGCCTCATAGCTTCTCTCTCGGTCTTATCTGAACTGGATTCCCAATCTGCCTTGTGCCAGGCCCTCTCTGCAAGGGCTATGATCCTTGGAAATATCATATAGTCTAACTGTTCTCCTGTTCGCACAGTTTCACTCCATAGTTGACCTTGTATACCTAATAAGTTGGGGACAGTTTTGAGAATTAATGATATTAATCATAATCAATTATATTAATATATACTCTTAAAAACCATGTATTCGACTTTCTAAACCCGAAACGAAAGTAAAACTCATACTGTAAATGGATATTCACCTCTATTCTCTATTTTTGAAAATAATATATTCAGTAAACATTTATCAAAAATAATTTCCGAGTAGACAATTGAATTGTTTTACTTTCCTCATACTAAGTGTTAAGGTTTCTTTGTGAAAATTAACGATACAGAACATCAACGTATTTTGGGAACTCATTTTTGACCCAATTTGTAATTTAAAATACAATTTAACCTTTTTATTGTCATAAAAATAAGTGTAGATACCTAAAATCTTGATTCCTGCCTAAATGCTATACCTGAACAGAAAGAGCCAAACAAAATATCAATTTCTTTACCTAATTCAATTTTCTCTACCCGATCTTTAATTTAAAGTATGTTAGACCTACCAACTATATTTTCAGGCTTTTCCAAAGGTAGACACCATTCTGCAGATTTTGCACACTCAGTCTCTTTATTCAGCACCTCACCACTCCTTGTAAAATCTATGTTGTCATGGAGACTATCGGGCATAAAACCAAATGTTTTTTCTGTGTCAACAAAACGTGGACCCCAGTAAGAACCACGCTCTTCTGGATCAGGCTCATAGGGATGGTCAAAAGACGTGTGTGTTGCCTGAGACATGACCGTCTGGACAAGATGTGATATGTTTTTTGGCAACATACGTAATGGATTTACATTTCACTATAAACTGGACCAGAATATCAATACACTACTTTGTTTTTGGTAATTAAGACAATAGCTACAAATAAAAAGGATGCTCAGCCAGAAGTGACTTTAGATGTCGCAATTCTCATTAGAGGGGATTTGCGTGGCAATCGATAACTTACACATCTAAAATACACAAGTATGCATATAATGTTATGATAATACCTTATATCCAGCATTAGCAAGTTTGTACGCTCTGTTCCCAACACCCAACTCCCAGATATTGTGCCATGTATAGACATACACATCTCTGTTGTTTTCTAACTTTGTGATATCATAAGCGATATCAATATTATCGTCCCTCCCAAGTATACCATCCTCCCATGCACCTAGACCATAGCCCTTCATGATACTAGCTGTTCTTTTCACAAAGTACTCCTTCAGATCTTGATGACTTGCTACTTCACCTGACTCTATCAACTTCTCACAGGCAGTTGATTTAAGCCATGTACCTTCAGCTACCTGGTCTCCTCCAAATATGAATGTTTTCAGAGGAGCTATACCTTCATGGAGCTTAACTGTCTCATTAAGGACTTTTTCTAGGAAAGCATATGTTGAGTTCAAGCAAGGGTTTACACTATTATCAGTAAAATATTGATAAGAAAGATACTTGGAAGGATCATCTGGTTCACTTAGAAGATACTGATCTGCTGGACTCCCTTGAATAGGATTAGCTTCAAGCCGTTTTCTTCTTTGTTTCATGGCTATGATAGCAGCATGACAGTGGCCAGGAACATCAATTTCTGGAAGGATCTCTATATGCCTGTCTGTTGCATACTGCAGAATTTCTCTGAAAGAGGTGCAAGTTTTACAATTTAACCGAATTTCTCAAACATTTGAGAAATTGAGCATTGTATAGTTAGTAATACCCTTTAGTTAGTTAGTATAAAATATAGATAATTAGTCAAGCTTTTTCATTTATTTTTTTCTCTAAGCTGTACGATTTGCCAAAAGTGGGATAAACGTATAATAAAGGTCATGATAATATATGTCATGGGTAATTGGAATTACCTGTAATCCTGGGCAGTATAGAAGCCATTGACAGACTTAAGGGAGGTTGGACCAGAGCCAAGTTGAGAAAGAACACAACGCTTTTCTGCAAGGTCATGGCATCTGAACCCGCCAATCTTAAAATCAAAATCATCTGCATTGGTATAGAAACAAGAATATATGTTATGGTGTGGGACAATAAAACATGCGTATTAATCACAAGTACAAAAATTGTCCGATTTCATTTATTTACAAAGCACTATATATATGAGGAGAAAACTAAAGAGTTCTGAAAGCAATATCTATATTATGAGAAGAACATAAGAAGATTCCCAACACTTTTACTTACCTCTGTGAGTTCTGGAAGGCCATCAATCTCAAGTCTCCATCCTTCATCATCAGTTAGGTGAATGTGGAGTTTGTTCATCTTATAAAGGGACATGCCATCGATGAGCCTCATTATATCTTCCTTACTGTGGAAGTTCCTAGCCACATCAACATGCAAGCCTCTGTACTTATATCTAAATCAACAGTACAACTATAACTCCAACCTTTGTATCAGGTTCATAGCCCAATGCTCATAACTTTTACAAGTATCCTTTATGGTGAACAAATAGCTAGCTTAATTAAATTTCCACTAAAGGAAGCATCCTCACCCTCCATTTTATAAAATTATGAAAAAATGAATTTTGAACATGGTATTTCTAATCTGAACTAACCTAGGTTGATCACTAAGTCTCAAAGCAGGAATCCTCCCTTTGGTACCGTCATGGATGCTAATAAGAGATTGGATGGCCCAGAAGACCCCAGAAGCAGTCTTTCCCTCGATGGTGACCACATTGTTGCTTGCATCAACTACAAGGGTGTGCGCCTCGCTGTTACTGGTAGTCTGATCATCCACAAGCAAGTTATTGTTAACTTGGAGCAAAACATACTTAGAGCTTGGAGTACCTGTAGTTGTTCCCATTGTCAGTTTTCCTGAAATGATTTTCAGACCTCTATTTATACACGTTTTTGATATTGTTACTTTCATCTGTATTTGATTTCCTAAATATACTTGATATCATACCTGATAGATATTTAGCTTCTTGTTGCAAATTATCCTTTATCACTATGACCCAGTCTCCAGTTGATATAGAAACAGTCGATGTGTCATCTACCTCTACTTTGACAGGTGTTGGGAGAACTAAGTGTTGAGCAGCACCAAGATCATCTTGGACAGCATTGATAGTGAATCGCTTTTCAGGGGTATAGGGATCATACCTAGAAAATAATAGTGCCATTATGTTAATACTGTAAACGCCCGACACGTTTGATCTTGCATTCATTATACCATTGTAAATAATCATGGAGAAAATTCATCACGTTTAATGTTTGGAGAGTTGGGTTTGATATAAATTGTGTTGACTTGTCCTTTTTGTCTTAATTTTAGGGTGTGATATTGAATTATTGCATTTAAACATATTCAAAGTGTTTTAAGTACATACTTGTCACCTTCGTATCGTTTCCATTTCTCAGCCGAATCAAATGCAGTAACGAAATCAATATCTTCCGATGCTGTACTTTGAATCGTACGGGGCTCAAGACCATCGGCTGCCACATACCAGTTGGGCATAACATCACTTCGAGAAACCATCCACTCTCCAGCAATGAACGAAATTTCACGCGATTCACCAACAGCAATATTCGTAAATTTGGCAGTTGGTTCGAGTTTAAACAAACAACCATTTACATGGGACCATTTTGCACCAGTCTTGGGGTCAGTGTATCCATTTGGTTCTATGTACATGTAATTTCCATTGTAGATTTTTGGCTCTTCTATTATCTTAATATGGCAAAAATATATGGCCCATGCATCATTATGTATAACCTTATTACCAGAATTCTTAAAGGTGATTTTCCCTGTGTATGTCGCATCATTGGGCACGAAGTTACTGACAACTTCATATGTGATGCCCAGATTGTCAGCGATGTAGTCAAGTTTGCGCTGAGTGAGTAAACCATCTGTAAAAATTGAATCGAATAAAACATTCAAAACTGACGATATTGTGCTCGAGTCATGAAACCCTGGAAATGTTGAAGCTGCCGAATAACCATTCGATATTAGGAAGGTGCGCATTGGAATTTTTAAACACGAACACCTTGATTTTCAAAAAATTGATTGAATGAATTAACACTCACCTATGACCGTTATTTCACCCAGTACAATCAATGTTAGTAGAGAAACTAGATTAACTGTCATTTTGACACCTGCTTTGTCTGCTTTGATGATCTACAGTATGTCTTCCTGCCCTATGTTGTAAGTTGAAACAAATTGAATGCAATTTTAAATAGAAATAGTCACTCCTATGCATCCTATAGTGAACCGTCAGTCAGTCAGTCAGACAGTCCGTCCGTCTAATATAGTAAAATGTTGCATTTTTGGTGAAAATTAGGTCAACATTTTTGAAAAAGTATGTTGATTGGTCCATTGCCCCTTTAATATCACTTAGATCTGATTAACTTAATTATCATTATGTATAATTTTCTTGAAGATAATGAATGGGTCTAAAAGATACACCCATGTTCATCATGTTAGTATCGTCTGAAATTGTCTGCGATAACTTGTGGATGTTTGTGGATGTTTTCTTGTGATCAAAATATGCATTCATAGTTTGTAGCTACAGCAATGAGATAAGCATTGTAATCAATGTAAAAATGAAGAATAATGAATGATTTTTCCAGCAACATAAAATGTAAAAATCAAAATGTTTGCTCTATCAACAATTGTGCCATTAAATAGTCTCGAACAAACGGCGAACTCAGACTCTGAAAAACTAATATGCTGAATCAGCACTTGCTTGAAATGTCACCTGCAAGAGATAAATAAGATAAGATGATACCGATACAACGAATGTATACAAAATATAACTAGTTTTACAGTGTGATTAAATTTAACATTGATGATGCCTACCCCCCCCCCCATAACCACAGATCATTAGATATGTCAAATTATAGAAAATGATGCACTTGTAATTTTTTGACGAAAAACTTACGTACGATGTAAAAACCTTCCGTTCGATCTCCGGTCAAGAACTAAAAAACATAATAAAAAACTAAAAGTCATGTGGGCAATATCTATGGCGCTACATGTATAATAAAAATGTATATAAACAACCTCAACAGCTGGAATAAATAGTCATGCGATAATCAGCAACTCCACGGAGTAGCAAGTCACAACAAATAAAATAAAATATTCATGAGTCGGTTTATGTCACAATGTAATTTTTCCGATCTACTCTACCCTTGATTGTAGATAATAAAAAAACAGACATTTGATATATATAAGAATTTCTTTCTGTCAAAAGTTATCGAAAAACATCAGACTAGGGGAGTTCTTTCAACTTTGTACCCCCCCCCCTCTTAGGGTTAGATTTAAGATTCAGTGGAAAAATGTCGTTTTTGTACACTAGTAACTAGTAAAATAGGGATCATTATCTTCTAGCTCTTTCTTTTGATGCTCAATTGGGGCTTTAGCTCTCTCAACTACCGCCTGCATAGGATATACTAGTTGAATTGGAATTTGTGTAAAAAGTCGATTCTCTCTTCCTGCCTTGATTAAATGATGCCATTTTCAGCATCATCTACATATGGTACAAGTTTCATCTTATTGTAATGTTGAAGATTGAAGCCATTGAAGATCAAATACAAAATGATAAAAACAAATACTCAGCAAGGTTATAAACCACAAAAACATATCAGGCAATATTGAATTGATTTAGTACTGAACTGGAATATTTAAATGTTGGTGGGGCGGGAAATTCGGCCATCAAACGAAACGCTATACACGAATCAAATGAAGGTACCTCGATATCACCCGCGCGCCGGAGGATGAAACGGGACTTTAATTGGCGCCGAAAAGTGTTCCCCCTGGTATCGTTCGTGCTAGCTGGTGTTGACGTATTTTTCTCGAAGAGATAAGTACCAGGTCTATTCGATCTGTATCACGGTGTATGGACCCATGCATTGTTTCCTACGTCAATAACATCCAAAAGAATCTACAGTGTTGCCAAAAAATACCTGCTGAAATGATATTCTGAAGCCAATATGGCGGTTTACTTTTTCTGAGGATGGTTACCTTGTAAACACCTTGTAACTATGTACTTCGGTGCCAAGATGGCGGTTACCTGATGTTACCTTGAAGGTAGAGGACTCATATTCCCGTGGATCTACTACTTACATGTACCTCGAATATCTAAGGTAATCAAAAAACGATAGATTAGTGAAATACTGCAAAACATTAACTCAATATTTAGGAGGTTCTCATTATTGCCGGAAAGGGTAGTTTTTAAGGGGGAGGGGAACCCTGTTGAATAGGGTTACAGGTAAGGGTTAAAGTTAGATTCTTTTGAAGCAGATCTCCTTGTGATCTCCATATTTGAGTTATCTATGATTACGTTTTTAAGAAATATGTCAGTCATTTTGAAATTCAGCAGCCATTTTGAAAATCTCTTCTTGAGCAAGGCTCTTTTGTCCCTAGACAAAATCATAAAAAATTTGAACCCAATCTGTCGACTAGTATTTAAGTTATCAAAGATTACGTTCTTTTACGAAAATGGCGACCATTTTAAAAATTTAGCTGCCTTTTTGGAAATCACTTCTAGAGGCCAGCTCCTATGTCCCTAGGCATCAGCATGTAAAATTTGAACCAAATCCGTTCACTGGTATTTAAATTATCAAAGATTAAATGGCGGCCATCTTGAAAATGTCTTCATGAACAAGACCCATTTGGCCCTAGGCAATAGCATATAGAATTTTGAACTAAATCTGTCGACTAGAATTTGAATTATTATAGATTATATTTTTCGAAAAATGGCTGCCATTTTGAATTGAGCTGCCATATTGAAAATTCATTCTCGAGCAGAGGTCCAACATCAATAAGGCATGAGCCTATAAAATTTGAACTAAATCCGTCAACGGTATTTGATTTATTGCCAAGACAGACGGACGGACGAACGGATGAACAGATAGATGGACGGCTTTCCTATATCCCCCTCGAACTTTGTTCGGTTGGATAAATGCACTTTTGCCGAGGATACAAGATGCGGGATATAAGATGCCACATAGCACACCTTGCAACAATGCCATTGTAAGCGTTATATCTAATAGTGAGAACTTAATCATCATGTTGACGTTAAACTTATACAAAATGCGAATTTGTTTGCGCATTTCCCTTCCGGCATAAAGAAGAACAGATTTACAGCATGGTATCCTTAATATAATACCTAAAAACCGCTCAAACTATTCGTTACAACATAATAGGCTAAACAAATGGAAGTTTAACATCCAAAAAATTGCAACAGTTTTTAAACTAGGCTTATATTGTATAAGTTGAAAAACATATCAAAAATGTAAAAAAATGTATGCAGTGGACAAATATGAAATGTCACATCCTAGGTACCCCCCCCCCCTCCAAATTTGAGTATGGGATTGTAAATATTTTTTATTTCACAATGGAATGCTCTTGTCAACTAAACAAGTAATATTATGATAGTTTACTGACATAAGAGCAACTAAAAATTGTTAACCAACTATTTGAGTGCAATAATTGGCTTTTCTAGCCCAAAATATCTGAAAATAGGCTATCAAATTGCCCAAATTTAATATAACAATGTATTTATTTCTGTACCAGTTCATCAGAATTGCATGAAAAAATCAAGGAGCTTATATACACCTGAACATTGTATTTGGTCAGTACCAGGGTCATTAGTTGCATATTGAGGGTGAAAATAATATTTGAAATTTCAATATTTTACCACATTCACTTTTGGGGTGACCCTACTTTTGTTTAATTACTTCCAAGATATGTCATATTTGTACTCAATAGCACAACTAAATTATTTGTAAAGGCCTATTTTATCCTGAAACACATTTTTTGATATTTTCAGGAAAGGATTATGTAAAAAGTAGAAAAAACTGCAAATGCCAGGTGAAATATAGGGGTAGCCCTACTTTTAGTTGATAACTGCTGGATGTAATATGATGCACAATGTATTTTATTTGAAATACTGAAGTGATACCCAAATGAAGGGTTATATCAGCAGTTGGGAGTAAAATTCGATGAAAACTAAATAATAACATTTTGACATGAAAAGTAGACCAAAGCCTTAATCAAACCTCACAGGATCGAAGGATAAATGTGGGTGATTTGTTGACCAACGAACCTAGAAGACAAAATACAAATTACAATGAACACATAATTCAAATAATGTTGCATTTTATTCAAAAATCACGTGGACTAACATGATAACATATTTTAAATTCTCGCAATTTTATCGCGATCTTGTTCTTTCCTTCTTTGAATAGTGTCTGACATTATATATTTTTTCTAAATCGTGTTGGCTATTATATACACATGAGCGCCATCTATGAAAAGTGAGAAAATATATTTTTACTTATGAATACATCTCGAGCATTTTATCATTTACCACTAATTCCCATCAGTGGTGGTCATCTTGAACAATCAAAACAGTTCCATCAAAGTATATAATGATAATGAATACCAGCTCATGTTGTCAATTTCTAAGTCTACATGTTTTAGACCATCATAGAAATGTCATCACATTCGGAGCTATACATTATGATGAGCAAATTATATGAGCATTAAAAAACACGACATCTTACGCAATACGCTACATTGAGATAAGAAATTTAACTTGTTGTGTACGATTCTTGGAATCAATGAAAATACATTATATGCTCAAAATTGATAAGTGTCCCATATTATGATTTGAATGCTTCACGCTTTAACATTTACTTCAAGTCCAATGATAATATCACATGGAGCTGATGAGGAAAGCTGTTATGAGCGAAATGGAGAGTCCGATCATATTGCGCACAGTGCTCCTAGCCCCACAAGTCGGGGCACCACAACCATCTACTTCTATCTGTATCTGTCTGCTAGCTCTACCAGCAGAGCTTCTGAAAACAATACAAAAATATAAATATAATCATCTAACACGATTAATGGTGTGGGTTAATGTATAATGACATAACACGATTAATGGTGTGGGTTACACGATCAATGGTGTGGGTTAATGTATTATGACATAACACGATTAATGGTGTGGTTTAATGTATTATGACATATCACGATTAATGGTGTGGGTTAATGTATTATGACATCATTATGATACACAGGACAAACTGCTGGTATATTCAAAAGGACAGCTGTTATTTGTTATTAGTAACCCTAATACAACACAACTCAACTTATTGTGTAAACAGCATATTCTAAATATGACAAAAGTTAAACAAGATTTGTCAGCTATGGAGAGCAAATTATTTTTCTTAGGAGTATCTAGTAAAACTCTGATATATCATTTTACCAAAGACTCTCACTCACTGCCAAGGCATTTATATTTACTATAATGTCGTTGGAAGCATAAATGATTTGTTGTAGCACATTTTAGTTAATCACCAACAGAACAAATGATACCCTTGCGTCTTTAGATATGGGTCAATCAATAAAACAACTTACATAGTTCTAAGATAGACGGTACCAGATGGAGAAGATGTAGATGTGAATGTATTCCATGTGTTTCCATCTGTACTGTATTGTATTGTCTCACCTGGGTAACCTGTGTTTGCCTCTAATTTACCATTAACTACTCTGAAACAGGAAATTATATCTGACTGGAACCTTGATTCTACATGAACAAGTAAAAGCCAAAATGATATTGAGTACAATTTGAATATATAAAATTTTAATAACAACATCTTGTAAATCCTTATACTGTACATCACAATGAAATCTTAATTTATACAAGGTGGGCAAAAAATACCCAAGTTTAAGGATCAATATCATATGATACAACGTTAAACCATGCCATGTATTGTATATCATCTTAAAGATATATAATTTCCTAACAATATGACATCATCTGATTGAAACCCCTCCATGAAAAACAAAGGTTTTTCAATTGGATGGTGTCATTTTGTTATAAGGAAATGATTTATCTTTAAAGTGAAATGTAATACATGGCATGGTTTAACATAAATCATATGAATCATTCATCTTTAAACTTGGGTATTGTTTTTTGGCGCACTCCTTGTTCCATGTATACCTTGCTCCAGGCAGGGACACTCTGTATTTAATCTGCAATTCCTCTAATCTTTTCAGCTCCTTATATCCCAAAGTAAGTGCAAAACTCTCCCAGTCATCAAGCCTCACGGCTTCTCTCTCAGTCTTATCTGAACTGGATTCCCAGTCTGCCTTATGCCAGGCCCTCTCTGCAAGGGCTATGATTCTAGGAAATATCATGAAGTCTAAATGTTCTGCTGTACGTACAGTTTCACTCCATAGTTGACCTTGCATGCCTTCAATAAATTGTAACAATTTAGGTAATTGTCAGACATGACAGGCATGCTAAATGGAGGATGTTTCTCTGTTATCATAATAGATAGGTATAGGTTTTCAAGATCCCTCCGTGTCATGTCTATTTTTTAAAAATGTAAAAATACCATTTCTTATTCAAGGCAAACATATTTGAAAAAAATTGTTGTCATATTAAAAATACCCGTGGATACCATGATTTTTTATGTTAGCCTCTCGGCTATACCTGATCGTTGGACATGTACAAAATGAAATGAAAAAAGGGTTGGCATATTAACAATACCTGTGGATACCATGATTTTTTATGCTAGCCTCTCTGCTATATCTGATCGGTCATGTACAAAATGAGCAACATTTTAATCATTCCTATAACTGTCTATATGGAAAATGAAGGACACATTGGTTGATTTTCATTTCGTCACCTTATTCATTTCCGATTCAATCTTTAACTTAAAGTACGTCAGACCTACCAACTATATTTTCAGGCTTTTCCAAAGGTAGACAAAATTCTGCAGATTTGGCACACTCAGTCTCTTTATTCAGTACCTCTCCACTCCTTGCAACATCTATATTATCATAGAGACTGTCAGGCATGAAACCAAATGTTTTCTCTGTGTCAATAAACCGTGGGGCCCAGTAGTACCCACGCTCTTCCGGATCAGGCTCATATGGGTGGTCAAAGTACGTGTGTGTTGCCTGAGACATGACTGTCTGGAAAATAAGTTGCAATCTACAATGGGAAACATGGGTAATGTGTTTGCATTTACATTTTTATTTACAGGATAGGCATAATATTTTTCTGATAAGAGGCCCGCATATGAAAATTATTACAACGTTACACAATGGGTGCCTATTGGCATAGCTCCTATTAGATAGATAACTTACACATATACAATTATAAATACCTTATATCCTGCATTGGCAAGTTTGTACGCTCGGTTCCCAACACCCCATTCCCAGATATTCTGCCAAGCGTAGGCATACACATCTCCATTGTTTTTCAGCTGTGTGATATCATAGGCAACATCAGTATCATTGACCTTCCCAAGTAATCCATCCTCCCATGCACCAAGGTCATAGCCCTCCATGATACTAGCTGTTCTTTTCACAAAGTATTCCTTCAGGTCGTGATGGCTTGATACCTCCCCTGACTCTACCAGCTTCTCACAAGCGGTAGAGTTAAGCCATGCACCTTCAGCAACCTCATCCCCACCAAATATGAATGTTTTCAGCGGGGCAATACCATCATGAAGCTTAACTACTTCAGAAAAAACTTTTTCCAGGAAAGCATATGTTGAATTAAGGCATGGGTTGATACCATTATCAGTAAAATGTTGGACTGACACATACTTGGAAGGATCATCTGCCTCATATAGAAGATACTGATCTGCTGGACTCCCTTGAATAGGATTGGCTTCAAGCATTCTTCTTCTTTGTTCCATGGCTATGATAGCAGCATGACAGTGGCCAGGAACATCAATCTCTGGAAGGACCTCTACATGCCTGTCTGTTGCATACTGCAGAATTTCTCTACAACAGGTACAATTTATTCAGGTATTTCAAGTGGATACCTTGAACATGTTTTCAATACTCACTATGTAGAGAATTGCATAATTTGTAATACTTTTTTATAGGAAATTGGACTTGCCTGTAATCCTGGGCAGTATAGAAGCCATTGACAGATTTATACGAGTTTGGTCCTGAACCAAGTTGAGACAGAACACACTGGCCCTCTGCAAGGTCATGACATCTGAACCCGCCAATCTTAGAATAAAATTGATCATCCATAATTAATATTATAGAAAATTCTTTTACACCTAAGTAGTAAGGAGATTAAAAGATGCATATTACCATTGCAGAAAACAGCCTAGTAACATTTATACAAAGCCATAACAAAAGAGAAATGTGAGTTCGGGGCACCCTGTATATACCTCTGTGAGTTCTGGAAGGCCATCAATCTCGAGTCTCCATCCCTCATCATCAGTTAGGTGAAAATGTAGTTTGTTCAGCTTATAAAGGGACATGCCATCTATGAGTCTCAGTATGCTTTCTTTATTATGGAAGTTCCTACTCACATCAACATGCATGCCTCTGTAGTTGTATCTGGAACACAAATTGAACTTTAATTGGTGAATAAATTTAGCTCAATTCGAGACATTTTGAATCGTGTTTGTTCCCTACAACAAGCATTACTCTCATCATTTAACTCAACAAATTACTTATAAACGGAACTGAATTATGAGAGAAACTATGCCATAAAAGTGGAAATTCTTAACTCAACTGACCTAGGTTGATCACTAAGTGTCACAGCAGGAATGCGTCCATTTGTGCCATCATGGATACTTATAAGCGACTGGACAGCCCAGAATACACCTGTAGGACTCTTGCCCTCTAGGGTTATCACCTGGCTACTTGTGTCAACTACAAGAGTGTAAGCCTCGTTGTTACTTGTAGTCTGATCATCCACAAGCAAGGTATTGTTAACTTGGAGCAGTACATACTTCGAGCTTGGAGTAACAATAGTTGTCCCCATTGAGAGTTTTTCTGGAATTTATATTTATAAGTAAATTGACAGCATTTCTTGTTTTGCTGATTAATAATGTTTGTTCGTTTATGTAATTCTTATTATTTTGGTGAGGGACACTATATTTATATTTCACAAGGCAATACTCTTCCTGTAAAACAATCTCACAGTTGTTATTTAATATCTTGAGTGTCCAACTGTTGCTTATTACTAACTGTTGAGCTTATCAAATGGTCATAATTTATCATTTTTGAATAATTATAGGTGTACTTCATGGTAGATAAAACGGGTGTTAGATATTTGTCAAAGTGTAGGCTATACTCTATATGTATTAGTTGCACAAACAATTAAACTATTATTTATGACCATTTTGCAAATAATAAAATAAATTATCAGTATGGTAATGTATAACAAAGACAAGTGGGTACCTGATAGATATTTAGCTTCTTGTTGCAAATTATCCTTTATCACAATGACCCAATCTCCAGTTGATATGGAAACAGTCGATGTGTCATCTACCTCTACTTTGACAGGTGTTGGGAGAACTAAGTGTTGAGCAGCGCCAGGATCATCTTGAACAGCATTGATAGTGAATCGCTTCTCAGGGGTATAGGGGTCATACCTGCAATGAGCTAAAACATTTAAGGCCCCTTATGAAATTCATACAACTTTTGGCTTATAATGTAGTCTTACCCAAATTATCAAAAGG